ACCATGATTAGATGACCTTTGTTTTACCATGATTAGATGACCTTTGTTTTACCATGATTTGATGACCTTTGTATTACCATGACTAGATGGCCTTCGTATCACCATGACTAGATGGCCTTTGTATTACCATAACTAGATATATCATAAAACTTTTTCAATTGCTATTTGCATTAACATTCACAGATTTACATAATTAGTGTTCGTATCCATTGCCCATTACGAAATCGATTAGCCCATACTCTTTCATTACGTCAAAAAATGCTTAAAGCTTTTGTGAATTTTAATATGAGTTTCCAAATCGTGGGCTAAACAATAGCTTAAAACTTTTAAAATTCATTAGTTTGTTAATGTAATCATTAAACAGCATCATACCATAATTGATAACATCCGCATATGAACATAATTTCTTCTAAGTTCATTTATTCTTACTATACAGTCAATCTTGACATGTGCATATCATTGCCATCAACCGCAGCGTAACTAGAGAATGTTGTCATTTTGGGGGCACAAAGGGGTGGGGGGGGGTATAGCCCCTCCATCACACACACCTCTATCAACGCCACATATACCAAGATCCCTTTTATCCCGCATCATTTATCGCGGATTAAGCTAAAAAAATTGTGTGTAATAAAATATTTGTTAAAAAAAAACAAAAAAAAAACAAACAAGATATTTGGCTTTTTTTCGTCGGATTTGATCTGTCCTTGGCACGAGTTAAGCTGCTTTCACATGTGACAATTAGAGGTTGTTCGCATAGATATCTGGACTAGGATTAGACACTGGACAAATGCGTAGGCGAGTTAAAGAAGGGAAAGGTCAAATAAAGTATGCTCAGGTCAAAAAAGAGAAATTTAAAAAAAAAGAAAGAGTTAACAAGGTCCTCATATGTTATCTAATAGATAAGTAATATTAAAATTTGATTTATATTAGCTTTAACTATCTAATGACTGAACAGTTGTATTAAAACTAAATTTTATCTACTTTGTTTTATTTGAAAAATATAATTATTTACACTACCAAATCACCCTAGAGGTAGATCATCATGGCAGGAAAATGCTACATTTTAGTCTACTGGTCATCTGCTGGACGAAAAGTTTGGGCTTCTAGATATTTTAATCACACAGAAAACGATACACTTCAGACACATGAAGATTTTTCAATCCTACTCGTGCGCCCCCCGCCCCCCCCCCCCCCCCCCCCCCCCACTACCAAAAAAAATTCCTTCGTTCTGCTCACAACCTCTTTTTTACTACAGAAAATGCAGCGGGTTGTTACACATAAAAAGAAACAAAGTAATATCTCTCTTCTTCTTCGTTCTTAATTATTATTGTTGAAGGGGATCGAGATTTATCTGCCAGTGGGTTTTGAACTCGAGACTTTGTTCGAATTTATCAACCATGAGCTTTTTGCCGACTCGACCACGCCTCCAACACAATTAAGCGTTACGTGTCAACTGGTTATGCGCCATTGAGGCCATTGACTCCGATTTCAGCCTGCTTTTCTTTTTGGATTAGCTTCCATAGCCTTTGTCCAACCAAGAACAAACTACAAGACAGCAGTTGTTTGATTTTGGAGTTGTCTCTCCTAGAAGAGTGGCTGTCCCCAGCTAACGAGCCTTATCTGCCCGAGAGTTCGAACTCGAGACTTTTCGGTTTGGCAACAATAAGCTTTACCGACTCGACCACGCCGACCCCTAACATCTGATGATGACAGCTGATAATATCTTCATGGGCTCATTGGCTACTTTATCAGTTATTTGGAATAATGAATCAGAACATTTTACTTTTGCTGCTGAATGTGGGAATACATTGAGTTGATTTAGTGCCACATTGTCCAGGAAGTTGTGCAAGACTGGTAAGATAAAGCTACAACAACAAGAAGCCAATATTGATTAGAATCCCTGCAGGTTTTTCAGTAACAGATGGACGCAAGTGTATGGTCAGTGTATGTTAGGCTATGTCTCCTCTAACAGCCCAACCATACTTAGGTACAATAGGACAAACTTGTTGAATTCGTCTTTTTTATTTGGGTACAATAGAATCAACTAATTGAATTTGTAATCAACTAATTGAATTTGTCTTGTGATATCCCAACCATATTTGGTTACAATAGAACCAACTAATTGAATATGCATTGGAGCACTTTGATCCAAATTTCGATATGGGGTATTACCATGTTTACCCTGTGACTTGACTTTAAGTTTTTTTATACAGAAGTTAAGTATTGAAAGGAGAGTAGTCAGCAAGATTTCTTTTTTGCCTCTGGTAAGTTATTGTTCTGGCCATCTTGTTCGTTTTTCTATGACGTAAAGAAATATTTAATATTGTAATTTATGTAAATCAATGAATCCAAAACACCAATCAGGAATAGTTATCATTGTCAGGTTTTTTTTAAAAATATAATATGTTTTTTTTTTAAATTGGACAGTTACATGTCTACGCATAAAATGACTTTATTTATTTTGATGTATTATATTTTGTGTTTTGTGAAACAGAGTTGGTGGTGTAAAATTTATTTCACTACCTTATAAATTATATGTGTCGTGCTTGCCAGTTGTCAACGTTCTACAGGGGAAACCATCGCAGAAGATATTTCATTAAATAATTTTTAATGCTTAATTCCCCTGATTTCAATAAAAATACATATTATGTCTTGTAAAATGTGCCTGGTTTGACAGCACATTCATTGTAACTATTTTCTTTGAGCACCAAATTTTGTGTGAAAGCTGTCTTAATATTGTATTGGCAATTTATATCAGTCATCAGGAAATATTATAGTCTTCATCAATTTCATTCTTTACCACACTAGCTCTTGATCTCAGCTAGCTAAGGTGAACTAAAAAAAAATAAAAAAATAAAAATAAAATAAAAAATAAACATTGACATGACTATCACTCAGTGGCGTAGCCAGGATCGTCTCAAGGGGGGGGGTTCCAATTTTACCCGGGGACAAACTTTCGATTTGCACCCCCGCCCTCAAACTTTCGATTTGCACCCCCCCCTCAAACTTTCGATTTGCACCCCCCCTCAAACTTTCGATTTGCACCCCCCCCTCATACTTTTTATATATACCGAGGGGTCTATGGGGGGGGGGTTATGACCCCCCCTAACCCCCCCCTGCCTACGCCACTGCTATCACTAATGCATAGATTATTCTGACCATATGGTATAATTATAAATAAATACAAAAATAATTGATTCGGTACGCAAAAAAAAATTAAATGTTCCCCGTCTTAAATACAGATGCCAGTACAAAAACGTTAACTGACTGCGTCACTACCCAACTTTTGTGTGCAAGCATTCATGCATACAATTATACCATCATGTGACCCCGGGGTTAACATTCTCGTTCATAAAAGCTACAAAACTGCTCTATCAAGATGTGGGCTATATTATGCAACACGTCTTGCGTCAGAGGTGTATCTAATGGGGAAGGTTTTTTTTTTGTTGTCATAAAAGCTACACAACTGCTCTATCAAGATCTGGGCTATATTATGCAACACCTAGCGTTAGAGGTGTATCTAATGGGGAAGGTATTTTTTTACTGTCCCCCCCTCCCCCCGCCCCCCACCATTAAAGCTACGAAACTGCTATATCAAGATCTGGGCTATATTATGCAACAGAGGTGTATCTAATGGGGTTGGTATTTTTTTTACTGTTGAAGTATTCAAAGGCGTATCTACGTATTATAAACTATTTGATGTGGAAATGTTAAGCAGAGGCGTAGCCATGAGAGCGCGAGCGGGGCGGCTGCTCCTGAGCGCCACTCCATCGGGCTGAGGGGGTGGGGCGAACAGGGTAGGGAAAAAATATACACGCACACGATAGCGATTATTTAATGTTTAAATATTACTTGGGCGGAGCGGTAAAACAAAACACATGGGGCTTCGAAATTTAAAAAAAAAAAAAAAAAAAAAAGGTGACGGCACGCGACACCACTATTTGTGCAAAATGTAATTTGTTTTCTGTCAACTATATACAACATAAACAGATGTAAAAATCTCAAAAATGAAATACAATATAGACCTATAAATTCTAGGCCTACTTAGTTTTAGTATAGTTTTTCGCACGCCCCGCCACTACGCCCGGTGTTTTCGCCTGCACCCCCCCCCCCCCTCCCCCGTTGCCACGATTTAGGCTACATATTCAAGAAATTTCAAACGATAGCTTGACATATTAAACAAATAAAACAAAAATTGTCGCCGACGTGGGCAATTTCATATAGCCTCATATTATCACAAAATTAAAACCGGCCTGTGTTCGAGATTGTAAATGTAGGTCAACGCACACAAATGTATTATTTATTATTTTAAAATTTAGATTCAGGTACATTAACATGATATTAATCATATAGATCTAGTCCTAGTTGAATACATTTTGACATGTTGGCTTATAAAAAAAATGCCACCTCATACATTTACAAACGCTGCAAGACAATACCGCGACCTACATAAGTTACGCAAATTTAAAAAAAAAAAAAGGCCGGTTGAAAATACATTTTTTTTCCCAGCCTGTTAAAAGATGAAACGTGCCGACAATCGCGAACGTTACGGCAAAATCTATAATCAGTGAAACTCGTGACCTTGAACTCTTTCGTTCGGTCACGAAACTTAGCGAAGAAAACCGAAAGAAAGTCCCTGCTTGGGCACGATCTGGCGTGGAAGTACTGAGTACTGGAAGATAATTTTTTGGCTTTAGGTCAGGCTAAATCTATATTCTAACTACATCTATCTATAATTCTATATTTTAAGAATGTGTAGCGCATTTCATACAAAATCTAGATCTAGATAAAACTTCAAATAGGCCTAATAATTTTTATTTGCCACTTTTTGGGATTATTTTTTCAGATTTATTATATATTAGATCTATATTAGGACTATAGATTTAGAATTTAGATCTTCAAAAGAGATCTCTATGACTCTTGTAAGAATTTAAGATTCTATAAATTTAGGCCAAATCATTTTTAATGTAGCCTAACAGTTGCTGTGTAGTGTGATTTTACTGTAACTGTTTAGTGTGCGTTAACTGCCGTTTACTACAAGTACCGCTACTGTGTCTGCTAGTGCTACTGCTAGTGTTTACCTTTGTTTTATGCCGTGAATCAAGAAATGTTGACCTAAATTTGGTGGCGGGCTTTAAAAATAATTGCTGCTTTTCTTTTGTGGTTAGCTTTTATCCTAAATAATTCTAATCTAGATCTAGAAAAGATCTAGAATCTAGTCTATGTTTAAACTCAGATCTGTGATTGGTATTACATTAGATTAAGTATTAGTCTAGATTAGAATAATAGAATATCAGGTAATCTATCGTTTTGGGTACGTAAAATACTAAAATCGCCCGCGATTTGTAATGTGAAAAACAGGTGACTCCTTAAATTTTAATAATTATTTCACATTTTGAGGAGGATTTATGTATTAAAAAATTCAAAAATGTTTCCTTGATTCATTTATGTACCTGATTTTAAACAATTGAATTAAAACTTTTCCGTAATAAATGAAGACTAGCTATGTTTCCAACAGATGCAACCATGCTCATTTACTATAGCAGCCATCTTGTCTAAGTTTTATTTTTATAAGCTTTTAGCGCCAGATTCAGGGGGAAGCCACTCTATTTTACAAATGGCTGCTGTTTATATTGCAAATCTTGCTCTCAGACACTGCTGTTTAAAGTTAATTTCTGGCCTATATCGATATATTTAGCCATTGATTTAGGTTTATTATTCATTTATCTATAATATTTGACACAAAAGTATGACAATATACTTCTATTAAAGCCTTGACAATGAGGTAACGTTTTCGTACATAAATAGCCGCGGGCGATTTTACGTACCCAAAACGATAGATTACCGAATATCACTATCACTAACGAACTATCTATGATCATATGAATCATATGATGAATAGTTGAATGAATAGGCTATGAATTTTCATTTTGGGTAGATCTAGGCCTAATTGTAATGTATCGTTTTAAGGTAGATCTAGATATCTAGATCTAAATCTACTAGATCTAGATCTACGTAAAATCGCCCGCGACTAGATCTAGTAATGTGAAAAACAGGTGATTCCTTAAATTTTAATTATTATTTCACATTTTGAGGAGGATTTATGTTTTGAAAAATACAAAAATGTTTCATTTATGTAGGCCCTACATTTAACATTTTTTTAATCCATTGAATTTAAACTATTCAGTAATAAATGAAGACTAGATCTAGCTGATGTTTCCAACAGATGCAACCATGCACATTACTATTTTAACTCAGATGGCCGCTTTTTATATAGCAAATCCTGCTTGCAAACACTGCTGTTTAAAGTTAATTTCTTACCTATAGTCATCATATTGATATATTTAGCCATTGATTTAGGTTTATTATTCATTTATCTATAATATTTGACACAAATATATCACAATATACTTCTATTAAATAAAGCCTTGACAATGCGGTAACTTTTTCGTACATTACTAGCCGCGGGCGATTTTATGTACCTAAAACGATAGATTACCGAATTTTTATTAAGAGTAATCTATCGTTTAGGTACGTAAAATCGCTCGCGACTAGTAATGTGAAAAACAGGTGACTCCTTAAATTTTAATAATTATTTCACATTTTGAGGAGGTTTTATGTTTTGAAAAATACAAAAATGTTTCCTTGTTTCATTTATAGTGATATATTTGTGTCAAATATTATAGATCTAGATAAATGAATAATAAACCTAAATCAGTGGCTAAATATATCAATATAATATAGGCCTATAGGCAAAAAATTAACTTTAAACATCAGTGTTTGCAAGCAAAATTTGCTATATAATATAAAAAGCGGCCATCTGTTAGTTAGAGTGGCTTACCCTGAATCTCACGCTATAAGTTTATAAATAATAAAAAGCTTAAACAAGATGGCTGCTATAGTAAATGAGCAATGTTGCATCTATTGGAAACATCGCTAGTTTTCATTTATTATTGAAAAGTTTTAATTCAACTGTTTAAAAACAGGTATATAAATTAAATGAAACAGGGAAACATTTTCAAAACATAAATCCTCCTCAAAACGTGAAATATTAAAATTTAAGGAGTCACCTGTTTACACATTACTAGTCGCGGGCGATTTTACATACCTAAAACGATATATTACCTAATAATAATATAATAGTAATAGGCCTAGGCCTATTAAATTATAATTAAATATAAAATATTAGTCCTAGCTAGATTCTAGGCCTAGCCTAATAATACTAATATTTAATATATTATTAGCCTATTATTATTATGCCTAGGCCCTAGGCTATATATAATTATTTATTAGGTTAGAATCAATGTTATAAAAGTTGCAAATCCAGAGAACTTGAAAATATTTTTTTTGAGTTTAATGCTAGATCTAGATCTACATAGTACATTTCTATTTATTTTCATAAACCTAAGACTAAGATATACATTGAGTTGATTAAGGTTTCACTTTACTTTCGTCTTTCGTAAAACAACCATACTCTGTGATCGATATTTTAAAAACTCCACTAAATAGTATCTCTAGATCTAGATCTAATTTGTTCTTGAAACTTTGCGGATACATTTTTTAAATACAATTTTTTTTTTAAACCACATAACATTGTTCTGCCATTTTTGCTTACATTTTCTGTGATAAAAGAAATTATTGTTTTTTTTTTTAATTATAGACTCTTACGAAAATAGGTTAAATTGTTTGTGGTATTGTAATCTCGACAAGTTTTAGGGTTAGTCGTTTGGTAGGGTTGGGGTTAGGGATAGGGTTAGCCGTTATCATTATGTAAGCAAATGTATATTTGGTTAACTACCAGTAGCCTAATCTAACGCCCCTTTTTTAAGAAGATTCTATTATCAGACACTGGTATAAAAAGTACATTAATTTTTTTTTTATTTCAAGTGTTTGCTGCTAGATCTTCCAGAGTGTCTACTAACTAGATCTACTTAGTCATGTTAGCTTCCCTTTTGATAGTGAACATTTTTATTTTATGTAGATCTAAATAGATCTACTAACATAGGATTAGCAAATTTGTAAAGACTAGGCCTCATTTAATAGGCCCCCTGTAGAGTTTTATTTTATTGAAAATAAGATATTTAGGATTATATTGTCAATTGGATAGCAAGATATGATCTAAAACCCACCCACTGATCATACACAGTGGCGTAGGCAGGGGGGTTAGGGGGGTCATAACCCCCCCATAGACCCCTCGGTATATAGAAAAAGTATGAGGGGGGGTGCAAATCGAAAGTTTGAGGATGGGGTGCAAATCAAAAGTTTGAGGGAGGGTGCAAATCGAAAGTTTGAGGGGGGGGGTGCAAATCGAAAGTTTGAGGGGGGGGGGTGCAAATCGAAAGTTTGTCCCCGGGTAAAAATTGGACCCCCCCCTTGAGACGATCCTGGCTACGCCACTGATCATACAACTGCCAGCCTGAAAGTCTCGAGTTCAAATCCCGGATTTGTTTCCATGCAATGTCCATGAGTCCACCCAGCTCTGATGGACACCTGACTTACATTAGGGAAAGTAAAGGCTGCAAGGGATAGTGCTGATCACAATATCCCTTCCTATGCTGATCACAGATAGACAGAGATTGTGACCTTAGTAAAAGCTTATTTAAACAAACGTACACATTTGGCAAGCTGACCATTAAAACTTTAGTCCCATCCGATCGTGTTTTTTTATTATTATTATAAGCTTTAGTTTTTTGGCAGATCTTGTTTGTAACTAACCTTAGACCCACTTCTTAGGAGTCATCCATAAATGGCATCTCTTTGGACAATTTTTACCTCCTCCTCCCTCCCCAATTTCCCCATCGTCACACATAGCCAAAAAAAAAAACCCTAACCCCCATCCCTAAAATGACATCACAACTCACTATGCAACCCTTCTCAAAATTTCAGTTTTGGTTTTTTAAAAAATGCAAAATAATCATTAAAATTACTAACATTCAATTCTTTTTAAAATGCGATAGTGTGTCTTCACACTTTCTGAACTCTTCCCATTCTTCACACATCTTAACAAATTTCTGAACCCCATCCTCCCCCATAGGAGTGTGTTGTTTATGGATGACCCCAAAATGCAAAGATTTGATCAAACTTTCCAGATAAATTTATCTCCAAAGACAAAACAAGGATAACTATTTAAATACCAAAGAAGTCCTAAAAAATTAATTTAAGGATGAGTACATTCAATTTATTTAATCAAATGTCTTTTTATTTAATACAATCATGTAATATAAAAGGATAATGATTAGAAGCTGAATATAATTTTTTGACTAATTTTTATCCAAACTGGTATATTTAATTTTTAAAAACTCTTTATAGACCAGTTATATATTCGTATACCTTAATATCAAAGTATGGATCCATACTGCAGTCACCACTATGAGACTTACAAGAAAAACCTGTATTTCTGAATTAAAGAGCATAGTCCCAAATGTTTCAAGCTAATAATGGAAAAAATACAAAAATTACTAGTAAATAACTTGATACACCTTCCCAGCATTGTAAGTTATGTTTAGGTCATGTGGCTTAGTGGTTAAGGTTGGTAAAATAAAATGAATTGTCTGGCTGTATATATTATCAGTAACACTGATTTAATTTACTCCTTGATTGATTTTTAAATTTAGTTTAAAGATCCTAGGCATTCCAATACTTCTAATATCAGCAATGTTTTAAATTTATTTTAAAATTTCATAAGGTCTATTCAAATAATAATTTTTTATTGATAAATAGAACTGAGACTTAGACTTTTCATTTGTAAAAAAATTTAGTTTTTCTTTATTTCATTCAAACCAGTCTATAAAATTTTGATTTTACAGGCCAAAAGGTATAAAATCTTATTAGTTTTAAGCCTATTAATATTATCATAGCTGATTTGCATTCCATTATTTGACAAATCACCATCCAAAATTTAGGAGAGTGCTAAGCTAATAATACTTTCAGATACTCTTGTCTATCATAACCCAAAACTGACACTACTGAAAACACGGCATAGTCACATGTGTTAGTCAGTGTTTGGGCAAGTCTTTAATTCATTACATTTCTAAAATTGTAGCTCATTATTCAGTTTAACTGCTATATTTTTGACAGCAAGACTGTATTTACATTATGATATCTACTGGTGTGGCTATCCAATAGCATTAATAAATGAAAAAAAAAGCAAGATATTGAATTGATTCTGTATTGCCCCACTAGTGACTATATAACTATATAGAAGTATCATTAGTCCTATTTCAGTTGTAAGGGTAGCTTAAGTACCTATCTCTGATGAAAAAAACAACCCCACATTGAACTTTAAGTATAGCCCTACTGCTTTCATTTGATGTAAACATATTTTTTTTATTGCATCACATGACATATTATGTAGGTCAGTTGATCAAAATTTAGGGAATGCATAGTACTTTTGTTTACCATTGTTTCATGTTTTCCTCTTTGCTTGCCTAAAAATAGTATCAGCTTTTTTTAAAAAAAAATAAACTTTTTACCATGCTATTTGATTTAAATTGTTAAAGAATTATTCAGTATAAATGTAAATATTATTTTGCAACTGGAATTTCTATAGCATTATTTAAAAAAAATTTAATTATTATAAAATAGTTAAGAATAATAAAACAGGCTGCATGTAATGCCTGTTTATAATTAATTGACAGAGCCTGCTTTATTTTATAAAGTGGTTCATTTAGGCTTGCTGTAGGCTGATTATGATGAAACTAATATTGATTTTTCTAGCCTTCCTACCCCAAGTTGGTTCCATGGCAACCACCATTAAGTTATCCATTCAATCAATATCCAGCACACTAGCAGGCAAGCTAATACTGGCAATTGATGCCAGTGTTTACTGCTCTAGTTCTCTATTACATAGCTAACCACTGGTTGTATCAGCTTCAGGGGACTTGTTTTTTATTCTTGTGTTTACATTGGATACACTGATGATTTAGTAAGAGTGTTTTTTAGGTGTTGAAAGTATTAAATTAGAAAAAATTAAGCTTTTTTAATGCTGTTCTGTTTCTAAAGATTGTTGCTTTCTTTTTTTAGCTGCCCCAGTTAATTGTAGGTTTTGTTGTTGTTTTCAGAAACTTAGATTTTGTTTGTTTTAAATATTGCAGAGACTCTCATCAATAAAAAAAAGCTTTATTATTCTGCTCCAGCAATTGAGTATACTATATGAAATTGATATTAATATTTTGAAAGTTCAAAGTCAGTTTCATGTGCAATTTTCTGAAACATTTTAATTTATCTTCAACAGAAAGAGCATCCACTGTTTCTAAACAGAATGCACTTATCAAAGCTAAAATTCTCCTTGCCTATCTTCCACTATTAAAATATGGCAACCATGACACAATGGCAAGTCACATGTAGATCAATGAGCATGGAATAAAAAAATGTGTAAGGACCTAGCTACCTAGTCTGGAGATTTACAGGATAGAGCACATCTAAGCAGCAGCTCAGTACCTGTAATGTAACGACTTTCTGGATTAATCGCCAAGGGTCAACTGTTGTATCTTAGACTTGGATAGTAAGATGGAAGAAAAGGTAAGCTTATGGTTTTGTTTATTGGACTGTGACTTAACCTATTTGAATGTTAATTTGTATAGGAAATTATATGGATCAGCTCAGTATATCTAGTTAATAACAGTAGCTTACTGTGCTTAGGAGTATAATTATTGTTACCTTTTTAAATTATTGCATTATTGTAATAAATAATAGGCCTACTATTAAAGTAAAAGAAATTAGCATGAAATAAGCACCCACATTTAGGTTATTACTAAAATTGTCTTTAAAAAAAACCAATGAAACAAAAATATACAGCACTGTTACAACTGTGTATAATGCTGGTATAGGGTAGATACACACTGCTCTGTTTTTTATTACCACATGTTACCATTGAGACTTGAACACTGCATAATTGCATGCGTTGAATGTGACATGAATGCAACTAGTTGTCATTTAATACCACCTAAAACTGTACATGGGATACTTTACTCTTACTTGTTTGTATGTGGTGTATCACACTGATAAAAGTGGCATGTCCTACTAACAGAGTGGCGTGTTACACTGCTAGAGTGGAATGTCACACTACTAGAGTGGAATGTCACATAACCATAGTGATAGTCCTACCACACTATCAGATGTTATGAGTGGTGTGAGATATATCACTCAACTATAGTAGAGTTATATTACTGAGTGTAGTATATTACACCAATACCACACACAGTGTGTTGCGACCTTACACAATAAATAGTTATTTACATAGCCTACAAGTCTCATTTATTAGCTTTGATATTCAAGAAATACTATAATGGCCTATATTAAAAGTGTGTTTTTTTTAATAAAACGTTAAAACATTTTTTTTAAAAAGAATAACAAAGATAAAATAAAACATCAAAGTAATTGGTATTTTATCTGCCCAATACTTAGTTCTAAATCGAAATCAGATACACGTAAAATATTAGTGGGGAAAAAAATCAATGATTATATTTTGAAGTCAACTAAAATTATATTTGTGGATGAACCTACATCGTCAGCTTTGTGTGTGGGGGGAGGGGGGGGGGAAGAAATCCTTTTTTTTTGTCCTCTAGTGAAGGAGCGATCTTTTATAAATAGAAAGCGACGGTGACCTATATAAGCCAAGGCCTGGAGTGTCTGTCTGCCCCAGTGTCCTAATTTAACGGTGCCCCGTGCTGCCGAACAGGGGTGGTTTCCCATGATGTTATTCAGAGGTCTGGGCGGAGTACTGTGTGAACCGGCTCAATCATTGTGTTGTTTTATTTGGATTTTCTTGGGTATCAAATTCATATTTGTTTAAAGTATACTGGAATAATAGCTTAACAATTTGCCAGGTTAGTTGTTATCCATGTTGATAATTCTCCATCATTCCCTGCCCCACACACTACGTTTTGTCACCGCCCCTGTTAGCGGTGTTTCTTCGCGCTTGAGGCTGGCCTCGTCTGACCTTTATTTGCGAGCCGGAGACTTTAAAAAGTTGGAATCCCCGCCCCTCGCTTTTGTTTTGTCTGCTTCTTGCGACTGTTCCCTCCGAAAGGCTGAGATGACGTAAGTGATAACGACATGATTTCATTCTTGGACCCTTTGATTTCAAGGCTTTAGATCTGTGAGCTATGAAACACACTACTGGATTTTTAAAAAAAGATATCAGATCTAATCTAGAATCTAGATCTACCATTGTGTTATAGCAGGTTTGAAAATGACAAAATGTTAGCCTATTAAAAAAAAACCACGTTTTTAAAAAATGACTTTTACCCTAATTAGTAATTAGACGTCTAGTAGTAATTAGAGTCTAGTAGTCTAGTCAAGCACGTGTGGTATTTCTCGCCGTATTTTATCAGTTGGCTGAGATAGATTCTAGATCTCTGTTTACTAACGCGGCGACTGTGAAAGGTTGATGAATACTTGAAGGGTTGCCGATCTTCAAAGGGCGGTGGCGGTAGGACTTGTATTAGTGTAGTGTTAGATTGTATTTGTATATGACTAGTGACTATATCTACATTATCTAATCTAGATCTAGTATTATATGGGCTGTGTTTACACGGTATACTGTATAATGTATACTTCAGTAGTAGTAGTAGGCCTATAGATCTACTACAGTGTCGTGACCATGAACAGCAGACACACACTCACACATGTCGCTGTTATAGTTCTGTTATCACCATGTTGGCTGGGTTGAGACTTTGGTCTAGGTGTCAAATTAATCAACACCTGTTCATTACATTTCACCGGATGTGCCCGTCATTTCTTTATTCAAGATGTAACTTAAAAATGTTTTCTACCTGTTTCAACTATCCTTGCCACATTATGTGTTTATTATACATGTATTTATAGCCTAAATACAGGACATCATTGGCATAGATGGTGGGTGTTAGAACCAACCACACCAAATGAACCCCTAAAATTACAACGCTTCACATATTGTTACATCAATGTGTGTGTGTGTAAAACACTCCCTATGACTAAATACTGCCTACACCAATGCAGATCATACCGTTGAAACCATCCAACTGATGTTTTTTTTTCTCTATGATTTCAGGATGCTGCCAATAACTACTCTACAAGATCGTGTCTACCTCCATTCAGTTCTCTGGCATCAACATCCAAGGTTATGAATGGAGCAGTTCACTCATTGACACAATGCTCAGCAGCACCCAGGGCATCGCTTGGGCCACCATCTCATCAAATGCAATCAGGGCCACCACCAAATCAGATTCACTCAGGGCCACCATCTCATCAAATGCAATCCGGGCCATCGCCACATCAGATGCAATTAGGGCCACAATCTCATCTGATGCATTCAGGGCCACCACATCAGTTGCAATCAGGACCGCCACTTCATCAGGTGCAATTAGGGCCATCACCACATCAGATGCAATCTGGGCCACAATCTCATCAAATGCAATCAGGGCCACAATCTCATCAAATGCAATCAGGGCCACAATCTCATCAAATGCAATCAGGGCCGCCACCTCATCAGGTGCATTTAGGGTCACCCCCTCACTATGTCCATTCAGGGTCACCACACTTCAACCAACACGAACAGATGGGAAGGCCACAGCAGGCACCAAATGACAGCCAGTGGTTTTCCCCACCAATTCACTATGAGGATAAGTTTCCAGCCCATCCATATTCCAACTCTTTCATGCAGTCTCCGTTTCCCCATGGCCCATCTCCCTATACAGTCAACCAGCCCACTTATTTAGGCCACACTGCATTTCCTAGTGCAACAGACCAGCCACCTCAGATTCCTCTCAACCAGATTGAGTCCTATCTCTCAGCAGCCGAGCAGAAACCCACACAAGACTTTGATGCTCAAAATCAAGATAATGGTTTTATGTACCCCTGGGAAAAGTCAATATATAGATCAGATAATCAGTATCCTAACAAGCAATTATCTTCTAACTACCCAAAGAATTCAGAAAATTTATTGAACTCCCCAAACAGCTTAACTAAAGAAGTAACAGCCAATGGATTTACTTCAAACACAAAAGCAGCTTTGCCTGGATTTTCATCATTTGCGGTTAGTAACTCTGTGTATAATAGTCATGTATCATATCTACCAGGGCTAATGACTAATCAACCCAGTCAGGTGTCAGGTTCATCCAATGCCTCACATAATTACGTAGCACACGCCACAAAAACAAATGCTGCTGCTAAAAAGCAAAGAACGGAAAAAAAGGACTCGCCAGCCAAAACAAAAGCTAAGAAATCTTGTAAAAAGTTGAAGAAAACTCCAGCAGTAGAGGCTGAGACTGTGGCTAATGGCCGCGGCTCCCCTGGTCCATGCCTGTCCCCGACGTTTCTCGCAAGTCTTTCTTCTAAGAAAGTTTCAGCCATGTGGTCAGCACCCAGTGTTTGTGTAGATTTGGGGCAGCCAGATCACCAGTCATCTTCACATTCCACCCCTCACCATCTGACCAGTGGTCAGCACAACAACTCCCAAGTGCCTCTGCTGACAGTTGAACCTACCAGGTCACAGGCGCCTCACTCAAGCAGCTCCGCCAGAAAAAATAAGAAACACAAGTTACCTGTAATTTCTGACAATGCTATGTTAAAAGTTGACGTGAAGGAAGAAGAAAGAAGTCCGTCTCCTTGCCAGTTCTCCCCTGACTTTCTGGCCAGTCTGTCTTCAAAACGAGGTGAGATAAAAACTCAACACAGCTCATCTGATAGCCAGGCTCTTGGTACATCAGCTAGTAGACCTTACATGAAATCTACAAGCCTTGAAGTCTCAACTTCACACCATATCTCCGACAGCCGTGATCCAATTTCTCCAGGTTTTTTGGCAAGTTTATCAGCCAAAAAACCTGAGCCGATTGTCAGAACCATATCTTTACCTAATCCCTCAACACCCCAGGACGTGCTATACCCATATAAATTTAATGCTCTGTGCAGTCAAAGTTCTGACATACAGGTCAACTCCCCCAACTGGTACCCAGTATCCTCTGTTTACAATGCAGGAGCAAACTTTCAATACCCCACGCCTCCCATGGAGGATGAGGACAACAAAGAACAGTCCCCCGGGCTGTCCCCATCAGTTCTGTCCCTGTCGTGCCCGTCCAGCAGCACCCCAGGTCTGGAGGAGTTCTCCATGCCCACCCCACCCAGCAGTGCTGGGCCGACCCAGACTTCCCCAGCAGACAGGTCTAAGGAGGATCAGACAAGCAGAATTCTGGAGATCATTGCCAGAGAGAAGGTCAAGTTCCAGCACCAGCATGTCATGCCAGAGGTTAAGAGGAAGAAAAAGAAGAAAAAAGGCAAGGAAGGTGGCGCAAGTTCTGAAATTAAACCATTCAGTGAGGAACAATTAGAGCAAACATTCCACGATCACCCGTTCAACATGTCAAATTTTAAACAAAATGACAGTAACAATTTCCAAGAGTATTTTGAAAGATCGGCTGTATGCAACCAGCAGACCCCTGACAAGCCTTATCAGATGCAGAATGGTGGCGTTGATAACGCCAGGCAACACCAGATGTCATATATGCCTGGTAAATCAAATTTTGTTCATGCCAAAACCACAGAGGAACTTGAGGGCCTGCACAGTGACCATCAGCAGTTTGGTTCACAAAAGCCAGATCCCAGGACAAGCATGCAGTACTCAAGTATTGGCCACAGTGTGAGTAATCCTGCGTCTCCACTGGTTGGAAAATCTGACCCATACGCTTTTGACGATTCAGACCAAAAGACAGATGAGATTGTGCTGAAACGTAGCAAAGCTAAACAAGTACACTTGCACCACAAGCCAGCAACAGCTGACATTAACGACTCTGACCCTACAGCTTCACTAAAGTCCAGTTTAAATGCTGAAGATATTAAATACACTCAAACTTCCGCTCAGAACATCAAAACTGAGGTAGTATCATCAAAGTTTTCCCAGTGTCAGCAAGCCTCATCATCTGAACAAACTAACAGACTAGCCCACCCCATTCCCTTGGAACATACCTACACACTCCAAACCAACTCAAATGCACAGCATGACTTCAGACTATCAGATAAAATGGTGAAACAGGAATTAGAGAATAACCAACTCCCAGGTTCTTTTAGTCCCAGCCATCATTCCCTTTACAACAACAGTGCACAGTTTGTGAAAATAGAACCGAGCTACAGTGATTGTGGCAAAAAGAAAAGAGGCCGGCCAAAGTGTGGCAGCACTGAAACTAAACCAAAGGCACAGAAGTACAAGCTGAGTGAGAAAAAATGTGTGGCGCCAGCTCCCAAACTTGAGTACACGGTCAACGGGGCCCAGGTCAAGCCTGAAGACATTAAACTTGACCAGTCTCTTGTGGACAGGTTAGCCAACAACTTGATGGAGGTAGCTGACTGCACTTGTCTCAGTCCTGATCGTAAGTCATCTTTCAGTCACTTTCATTTGACTTGTGTTTTCTTTACACTTGTATGTGACAGCCTTTATTTTGTCTCATAATTTATATTATGTTTTACAAATTAAATGTTTATAAAAACGTGAAAAATTGCTGTATGTCTAATGATGTGTATTGTCTTACATACTAAGAGAGGAGACTAGTGGAAATGTTAGACTGACTAAACTTGTTTGCAGATATTCCAAGTGAGGCTATAGAAGGTCCTTACTATACCCAGCTGGGGGCTGCACGGGATATACCAGCAGTTAGAAAAATTATGGAGCAGAGGTGAGTGGTAATCTGTGGTGGCAGTTGAATTTCTTGCTTAAGATTACTGGCTAAATACCTGGGGAAGAAATAGAGAAGTCTATTGTCACTCAGAAAGCAGAGGACTTGTCTACAAGATGTGATACAGCTGACCAACCACTTTGTTGTATTTAGCCTATATTAGCAAAACATTTCATTGATCTGAAGCTTTGTTTCTGGTCTTGGAAAGCAAAAAAGTACTTAAACTAGTAGAATTAATTTCTATCTGGCTCTAAGCAAAAAGCTTTAAGCATGACTTAATTAACTGTGACTTTTTGTTTGAAGGCTCTTGTGAAATTTATTTATTTACCATTGCTTGGTTACCTCTTCTTTGTACCACATACTAAACATAAGATGGCATATGACGTATTTATAATGTTGCTATCTACAAATTACAGTTGCATCCCACCTGACTACATGTTTTTATACGTTTTGTCTTTTACTTCTTACTATTTGAAAACATTACTTTTTTGCATTTAGAACTGGGGCTAGTGGGTCAGCCATCAGAATTGAGAAAGTCATCTTCACAGGGAAGGAGGGCAAGAGTAAAGAAGGATGTCCAGTGGCTAAATGGGTGAGTTAATACATGGCAGGGTTAACCAGTCCTGGTTATTTTTATATGCCTGTTCTCTCCTTGATGTTTTAACACATGACATAGTCAATCCACACACATCATTAGTTCATGCTGGATTTCTCCAAGATTTTTAACACATGACAAAGTTAATCTACACATGCTAATCCTCCTTGAATCTAATGTTAAATTGCAAAGGTACATTGATCAGTACTGGTTGATGTGCTGTATCCATCAGAGTTTAACATTTGATCCCTATTCTCTCTATACTTATGGTTTTAATCTTAGCATTTAGCATTGACATGTGTTTGTTTAAGCCTTTAAACAAAATATTGGTGTTTACTATTGTTAATATTTTTCAGCATTATATCTTCTTAGATTTATCCAGGACTTTTGTCGTAGATTTTTGTCTCTAAATGTACATAAAACTTCTATGTAATATGCTCTGATGAAGCATGGCATTAACCAGTTATATACTTTTTACATTAGATAATTCGCCGGTCTGGTCCAGATGAGAAGTACCTCTGTATAGTGAGGAAAAGGCCAGGCCATTTCTGTGATACCTCTGTTATTATAGTGGTCATAGTTGCCTGGGAGGGAGTGATAGCAGAGCAGGCAGATTCTCTCTACGATTTTCTCATCACAACCCTACCCAAAAGTGGGCTTGAGACTGACAGAAGATGTGGACTTAACGAAAAGTAATTTATTTTTTAGTCAAATAATTAGAAATGCTCCTTTGATTTATAGTGGGTGGTCTAGCATTAGAGTGCTAGACTCCTAACCTGAAAGTCTTGAGTTTGAATCCAGGTTCAAGTCAGTAGAATGTCCCTGAGTCCACCTAGCTGTGGTAGGTACCTAACTCACATTAGGAAAAGTAGAGGTGGCTGAGCATAATGCTTCCCACACTATCCTTTCATCTGCAGAGGTCACAGAAACAGGTGAACACTTCTTCCCTTTCCCCATGGACCCGACCATCGGCATTAAAGAGGGGACTTATTTTATTTTTTTAAAATGTTTTAAGTATGCAAACAAAGACATTTAGAAATGTTCATTTGAGTTGATGGTTTACTAGTAATAGAAGTGAGTTATTTTAGTAATATCTCTTGTAAATAAAAGATTTGATTCACGGACGTGAAAAACTTTCAGGAAAACATGTGCCTGTCAAGGAGTGGATCTACTCAGGCGTGGTGCCTCCTTCTCTTTTGGCTGTTCCTGGAGCATGTACTACAATGGTTGTAAGTTTGCTCGCAGCCAGATTGCAAGAAAGTTTAAACTCAAGGATATGACCCATGTGAGTTGTGGTCCATTCTTTGCTGTGTTTTTTTTTTGTTTAAATTTTAACCTAGTAACAACACCAGCAACATTATACTTCATTAAAAAACTCATTTTTCTCCATTTACTCAAAGTACTAATTTGACTACAGTTTTAGTTATGTTTAACTTCTATGTAATAAAAGTTCATTTTCATATTTTTCTCTAATCTGTGCGTAAAGGCTGGTAATAAAAATGTTTGCAGGAAACTGATCTCACAGAAAAGCTGGAACAGCTGGCAAATGATGTCTCGCCCCTCTACAGCAGATTAGCTCCAGATGCTTTTAGAAATCAGGTTAGCTTATAGCTCATAAAGGCTGTGTTTGACATTTGTATCCACATACTAAATCTATAATTTTACCCTTTATTGCCACAGATTTTGTCAGTTTCTTTCTTTAATTTGGTTAAATTAAGGGATATAACTGGTAATAAAAAGAATTTTAATTTTTTTTTATTGTTTAAAATTATGATACTAGGGTCACTTCCTGATTAACTACATAAAATTAAAGGCCTTGTCACTAATTTATTTTTTAAAAAGACTGTTTAATAATGCACCTTTTTCCAGACCCAGTTTGAGAGGCAGGCTGAAGACTGTCGATTAGGTACAAGGCCTGGCCGGCCCTTCTCAGGTGTGACTGCAGTGGTTGACTTCTGCTGTCACAGTCATAGGGATTGTCACAACATGAACAATGGAAGCACAGTGGTAAAACACCTCACTATTTTTTCTGTCACATTGACACCTCACTATCTCATTGTTTTATTTAACATAGACACCTCACTATCTTATTGTTTTCTGTCTCATTGACACCTCACTATCTCATTGTTTTCTTTCACATTGACACCTCACTATCTCATTGTTTTCTGTAACATTGACTCTGAACATTTTGTATTTTAATTTCTATCACAATGTTGAAACCTCATTATCTCATTGTTTTATTTAACATAGACACCTCACTATCTCATTGTATTCTGTCACATTGACTCTGTGAACATTTTGTTCTCTAATTTCTATCACAATGTAGAAACCTCACTATCCTATTGAGACTTTGTGTGCATCTATTTTATAACATAAACACCTATTGTATTAAAAAAATGCATTCTGCAGACAAACACCTAACCCATTATTCTCTTTGGCTGTGTGGATTGAATTAGTTTAGAGCTAGCTTGTACAAATAGTTAATTATTGTCTCCTCTCCAGGTTGTCAATTTAACAAAACATCGTGGTTTTGAAAAGCCTGATGATGAGCAGTACCACGTCCTGCCCTTGTACATCCTGGACCAGACGGATGAATTTGGCTCCATGGAGGGACAGCTGGCAAAGGTCAGACAGGGGTCGCTAGAAGTCTTGTCTCGCTACATGACCGAGGTGCGCATGCGCTCGACACCTTACAGGCCATGCAAGAGGAACCGTACCACCCCCAAGAAACAAGGCGCCAAGAAAAGTCCTAAAAAGTTAAAACTACTCAAGTCCATGTCGTTCCCACCTACAGACTACGACAGCCTTCCATCTCCTTCAAATGAGGTTGACACAAACGATGTATCCCAGAGCCCATCGGGTGAGAGTTCATTTGACTTGAGCTCCCCAAGCTCCAAAGACAGAAACCAGGAGAGTATGACGTACATCGAGCTGATGGCCCAGCAGGGAACTCCAGGCTTCAACAACCTCTACAAGCAGTTCTGGGATTACTTCTACACCCACGGGACCTTCCCCCCTAGAAAACTGGCTTTTGAGGGTGAAACCTCCCCAGCGCCAACTCAAACCCCAGCCAACGGCTTGGTCGCCAAGACATCCCGCACAGTTTTTCAACCCTCTTCCACGGACCAGATGTTTTTACACTTGCAGCAACAGCAGAATGTTTTCAGTGAAAACTCCCACCAACTACGGCAGCAACAGAATATCTTTTTTAACTCAGAGAAACAACAGCACTCAAGGCAGCAGCACCCTGTTTATAATGCTCAAGAACTTCAGCAGCAAGGTAACAATGTGTTCAGTGACAACTTCAGTAAACAACATCCTCAAAGGCAGCAAGCTACAGCAGCATCCTCACCACAGTCATCTTTAACATCCCCGTCATCTGAAGCGACAACATCAGCCCGAGGTCCCCCACCCAAAGACTTGCTACCATCATTGAATGAATCTTGTTTCACACCATCTCCATCATCTCATCACCATCATCCGCCATCCCCTGCCATCTCTTCACCGCCTGTGTACCGCAGCACACCCACCACTTTAAACCAACCTCAGTGGGATCAGAAAGAGAAGCCTTCACAATGTGAAACCACCACAACCCCCCACCCCACATACTCCCACCCCCACCCCACACACTGTGAAACCGCGACACACACCCACACCAGCCTCCAGCAAACAGTTTCTTCCCCCACACCACTGAAACCCCCACCCTCATACAGCGAGTCCTTACAAACAAAAGAGACAAACCCTCCACCTTATAAAGACAGCCTCTCACAAGACCTAGCTCAGTTCTCAACTGCCCAGCCAACATCTAATGCTACAGTTCCACTCACCAGGTCAGAGTTTAGCTCTCTAGACAGATCCAGCTACTTGCCACAAAATGCTACACTTGACCAGGGGTTTAGTCGGCCGCTGTATGAAACACATAGATCACAGTTCTGCCCAACCTATACACATAGGCTACAATCTCAGTTGAGTGACCCTGGCTACACAGACAGACTACAGACTCAAGGTAGTGACCTGAACTATACAAACAGACTACAGTCACAGTTAAGTGACCCAGGAAATACAGACAGAATACAAACTAGTGACAATACCTACATAAACAGACTACAGTCACAGTTTAGTGATACTGGCTATACATTTAGGCCACAATCAAATGACCCCAACATAACACACAGAACACAGTCGAATGACCCCAACTTTATGCACAGACCACAATCAAATGACCCTAACTTTACGCACAGACCACAATCAAATGACCCCAACATAACGCACAGACCACAATCAAATGACCCCAACATAATACACAGACCACAATCAAATGACCCCAACTTTACGCACAGGCCTCAATCAAATGACCCCAACTTTACGCACAGACCACAATCAAATGATCCCAACTTTACGCACAGACCACAATCCAATGACCCCAACTTTACGCACAGACCACAATCAAATGACCCCAACTTTACGCACAGACCACAATCCAATGACCCCAACTTTACGCACAGACCACAATCCAATGACCCCAACTTTACGCACAGACCACAATCCAATGACCCCAACTTTACGCACAGACCACAATCCAATGACCCCAACTTTACGCACAGACCACAATCCAATGACCCCAACTTTACGCACAGACCACAATCCAATGACCCCAACTTTACGCACAGACCACAATCCAATGACCCCAACTTTACGCACAGACCACAATCCAATGACCCCAACTTTACGCACAGACCACAATCCAATGACCCCAACTTTACACACAGACCACAATCAAATGACCCCAACTTTACACATAGACCACAAAACCAGCCATCTTCTGTGAATGAAGATCGTAGACAGCAATTTCCTTGTTTGGCACAGTCTCAGAATTCAGGTCAAACCATGAACACATCAAGTGACAGCCCACTTGCCATAGGTCCTAAAATAATTAGCACACTCATGAGCCAATCACCAGTTAAGGCCAGTTTTCAGTCCAGTCCAGCGGGTGCTAAAGCTGACCAGGGGGCCCTGGATTCTAACGGGCACCCTGTGATTGGGGAGAGGGTCAAGGTGCACAAGTCTGAGGGTTTTGTTGTCCCAACACTAGGTCAAGGCCCCAGGGAGCCCCCCTACCAGGTGATAGACTCCACCATCATCAGTGTGGAGACAGATGACAACAAGGAAGTCTTTGAAGACCCCGCTGTTGGGGGAGTGGCCATTGCCTTGTGCCACGGGGCTGTGCTGTTTGAAGTGGCCAAGAGAGAGCTGCATGCAACTACAGCGCTGAAAGAACCCAACAGGTACCAGCCCAAGCGCATCAGCCTGGTGTTTTACCAGCATAAAAATCTGAACTTATCCAAGCATGGATATGATGAGTATGAAAGGAAAGCTGAAGAAAGGAAGAGTCAAGCGGAGCAGGCCCGGCTCATTGAAGAGATGGAAAGTAACGGATTCTTTAAAGGGGAGCTGACTGAACTGGCTTCTTTCCCCAACCTGACCAAAGGAACTTTTGGCAAAGTTTTTAATTTCCCAGAAACAAAGAAGACTTTGTTTCCCTTGAGGTTCCCTCGTTACCTGGATTCCTCCCCCCTGGACCAGGTGACCCCCGTCATGTTTGCCTGTATGTCCATAGCCTTCCCCAAGTACATGAAAGAAGCTTTCCCACGCCCATCGTGTGTTCCCAGGCTAATGAATGGCAGGACCCCAGTCAAGATGAGCTCGACCCTCTCTGACCAGAGAAAGCCAGAGCATCCAGTGGATGAAGAGAGTTTAAAATTTCTGGTGGAGAAGCTGGAAGAATGTGGTGGGTCCTACAAAGAAATCAGTTCTGCCTGGAATCCCAACATGCCACTGTGTGCCTCCATCACAACAAATAGTGTCATCACTAGATGGGTTCATGAAGACACCAGTGTGACCGGGCCGTATAACAAATGGGTAGAGCTGTCTGAGGATAAGAGCACAGAGGAGTTAGAAGAAGATGCCTCGGAGGCTGACCTGAAGGCCAAGATGTTTGAGAGCCTGTCTGAGCTGGATGAGCAGGTGTTTTTGAGGAACTTAAACCCAGGTGTGTTGGAACCTGAGGTGGAAGATGTGCCGAATGTGTTTAAGTTCGCTGGGAACTTGACTCCGCTCAAGGTGATAGAACATGAGCCGTACCCCTGCCATGATCTGGCCAGTGTGGTGGTGTCCTTAGACCACAGCCAGGATCAGCTGCCTAAAGATTTTGACCAGTCCCTCAACTATTTGATGAAGAGTGCCAGCGACAGGGCCAACGGGGGTAAAGTCCAGAAGGAAATGGTGCCTGGGTCACCTAGAAGAGACGTCACAGGTACAGTAGAGTTGAGCCGGGTAGATTTGTCCAAATCTGTACCCACCACCTACGCTCAACTGGCAACCAACACCTCAAGTCCTGCTAGCTCTGTCACAACCAGCTCAGACACACAGCTGTCAATCAGCCACGATGGGAACACCAAAGACCAACCAACCCATGGCTTGGAGCCTGACCATGTCCCATCAAGTGACCCTCCCACTGCCAGTCTCGCCGACAACCAAAAGGCCAGCCAAAATTTGATGGAGTCCAGACAGCGCCAGAGTATCTATGACTTCCTGATGAATGGCTTGACCCAGCCGTACTTGACCTCCAGCCAGTACCAAACCTACCAGAGCTCCATTCCTGCTGATGGTAACAGCCCCATAGGAGTAAACAAGCCAGTACAGTAAACACCTCACACACTCAGTAGACTCGTATTTATGTCTGAACTTAAATGGCACACGTATTGTTATTCCAATTTAATTGCGTCCATTTACACTATTGGTTTTAACCATTGAGTTTTAAGAGAGAGATGATACCCCAGAAAAATGGCAAAGTGAACCCACAATTTACCAACTTGTGCAATAGTGTGATTGATGTATGTATACCTTTACATAGTCAAACCAGATGTGTGCTTTATATACTCTTTTTCTATCTTGTTTTAAAGTTAGCATTTGAGGATATTTTTTTTCCCCAATATCAGCAGTCTAGCTACTGTTACACTGCCATTCTAAATATTTGTTACATTTCATTTTGTATTCTACATTTTAATTATACTCTTTAATATATTTTTAATTAGTACAGCTCAGTATAAAGCGTAAAAAAGGCTTTATTATGAAAATGTATTACTTTCTGTTTATGCAGGAACATACAGAAATATATGTTAACTGACAAGAAGCACATATAGTTAGTCTAATCTTGAATTCCTTGAGCAGTTAAGAATGGGTCAAGATGAAAAGATCTATTTATTGTGTGCGAGACTTCCATTACACTCATGGAATACGGGTGACCAGTTCATCTTTCATTTAACCCAATATCTATTGGTCATGCTAGCGTTAGCATAATCTTATCTTTTTAAACTACTTTGTTGGCACCAGCTTCTACAGAAAATATTTTTATACTTATTTAATTCTTTTTTACTTCAGACTGTTTCTTTAAAAATGGTTGAAACAATTTTAATTAATGAATGTTAGGATTTGTTTTTTCCTTAGCTTCTTTTAGAATGAAACAAGTTTTAGCAAACTGTATTCTGGTTTAATTTTTTACAATTGAATAGGGTCTAAATTAGTAGATCCACCAATTTTTATTTACAAATTTTTTTAATTTGCATGTGATAAATATTTTAATGGTTGGGGGTGGACACTGAATGAATATCCCTAACTTAAGTCGTTTGAATAATTTTTATAATTGTATAGTTCAAGTTATTTATCTTTAATTGTAATTAATCCCAAATTGTAATTATTCCACAATTGTAATTTAGTCTTTCTTTTAACTGGATACACAGGCATAATTGAAGACTGTGCTTCTGTATGTATTTGTTCAGCTTATGTTATTTTTGTTTGCTTCAGTTTATTTGCTTTACACTTGTCAGAGGGTCCATGTTATTGTGGCTGTGAGATGTGTGTCAGGTAGTTTCAATGCTGTAAATACCTTAAGCTTACAAAAATATTGTCTTCATATATTTTACCAGTGTCATGAAAACTTGGCTCATGCTCTATGATGAAGGATTTTTACACAACTTGCTGGTACAGTAGTTATTACATGCTCTATGATGTAGGATTTTTACACAACTTGCTGGTACAGTGGGTATTACTATGATAAAGGACTTTTTTACATAACATTTGAGCCTTTGAGTTTCCTGTCAAGTTGTAGTCACAAGCTTAACAAACCTGACTTAGGCTGTTGCACAAAGTCTGTGTAAGACAGAATATAAAGCCAATGGCAGAGTAACTACAGGTTTGAGGCTACTATAAGTGTACCTGATGTTTCACATACAAGTTGTTTTTTAATATATTGTATATTTTTTTTATCCTTGCAAGTAGTATCAATATTTCAGCTAAAAATGGCAAGCATTTATTTATTTTAACATTATTTTTAAAGACTAGTTATTTTAATTGTACTTTTGTAAATGTATTAACTTTATACAAAATAGTTTGAACATGAAAGTGTATTTTTTAAAGGGTCAGGGTAAAATCTGCTTATGCTAGGGTTAAAAACGTCAACAACGAAGAATGTAGCCAATAATAAGAGTGTGCCTTGTCTATAAGCAGCAAAGATAGAGCTGTCTGTGCAACCAGTCTCTCAGCTACTGCCAGTCAATGTCATTGCCTGCTTTGTCTGTCTGTCTGTCACTTGCACCTTGTCGCTGTGTTTGAGAACAGTAGACATCTTGTTTTAATTAGCACAAAATGCTGAATTGGTTTATAGAACTAATGGAGTTTTCTTTCTGTTTAGTGAATTTTGTTTCTTAGATGTATTTGGCAGACTGGTCAGCTGTCCATCAGTATCATTAGGCCAGTAAAACAGGTCTCACTTCATCTTTTATTAATTGAAGCTGGTAATCTATACAGTGAGTTTGACCAAACACATCACATTCAGCATTTTACTCTACATTCTCAGGGATTCTCACACTTTTCTCATTTTACTGCAGTTAAATATTATTTCACCTTATTTTTACCTGCTCCGGCTTCTTGACACACTCAAGTGGCATTAGTGTTCAATGTGTTCGATATTTTAATTAGACCTGTTTCAGGGCATGCTACAATTGTTTGAGTAGTGCCGCTACAGAAACTGTTGAAGATTCATATCACTTTATTATACTGTAAAGTTTCTACATACATTTATATTTTTATATATTACATTGATTGTATAAATATCAGCATTCTGTTTATTAAGAATTAATCTAGAAGTATTTCCCATTTTAACAGTACACTTGAACAGTTAGTAATAACTTTTGGGCTATTTTAGTGGGTTTTCAATAGCAAGCTTCTAGTTTAATTTTGTAAGGATCTCAGGCACATTGTGAAACATGTTCATGTGTTGCCATAAAATTATGTTCTCGGAAACATGTTGCCACATGTTCTGAGAACTCTGAAACATGTTCTCAGGCACATTGTGACCACGAAGATTTGTTGTCACCATATTCTTAACTCAGGTACCTTGAGCTACATTTCCACATCTACTTTAATCTTTAATTATAAGAATCTGAGCAATTTATTAATAGTTTACTGTAAAACTTTTCAGTTATCTTCAGGAGTGGTACATTTTAATACTTTCCCATAAGTGCTGTACAACTTGTTTATATACACTACTAAATATTACACATTGGCAAGTTATTTGTTTTTTATTGTTCTATTATAGAAATTAAAACTTTCTATATTGTAATTAACTTTTAAAATATTTTGGTTTATTGAATTGGCCAGATTTAAACCACATAGTTTTGTCTGTTACAATATTGTTATTGACTGTTTGCCTGATTGTCTTAATGAATCTTGGGAAATGTTCAGTCAAGCAATTGTGTTGATTCTCAATAAATAGTTTTTTGGAGCCTTGGTTGTGTTTTGAAGTTAGTGGCTTGATTTACTTTGTTGTTTCACATTATAAAATCAATACTTTTCCAAGATTAACCTGTCCAACAGCTGTCAGATAATCATAGATTAGGATTACCAGATCATATACATTTTTTAAAAAAAACAGTACTTTGGTGAGTGTGTTCTCCTTTTACAAGATATAAATATAAATTTACTTGTAAGTTATAACTATAGGTACAAAGGAAAGAGAAACTATATGCAAGACTTAGATTTTATTGAATAAATTAAATCACATTGATCACAATGTTACAACTGGTTTAAAATATAAAAAAAAAATTGTACTAAAAATTAAAAAAATGTATAACATCTGAAGCTAAGTAAGAAACAGAGTTTAAAATATCTGCAGGGTAAAGCAGCAGGAAGGTTATGTAGTTGGAATAGGGGAAAGTGGTAATGAGGAATTTTTCAAGAATTGACAGAGTTTTGATTAAAAGATTTATATAAAGATGGCCGGCTATTTGTTCCACTGTCATCACAGGGTGTCTTGACCTCAGGTCAATGTCCAGGTGTCTGGACCTTAGGTCAATGTCCAGGGTGTCTGGACATCAGGTAACAGATCAAACTACATGCTACAGAGATGAACTACCTTATACTGACTGGACTAGATAATCACAAAGAACATTTTTAAAAATCTAACACAATATGGAATACTCTGATAACTAATGAGCATGTAGATAGGTGTAAAAACCTCACAGAGAAAACCATGGAATGCGGACTGAATGGGTTTGCTGAAAAGATGTACGTATATGAGCTGGAAAAAACATAGAGCTGATGTTAACAATAAGTAGTAGCAGGCAGAGTCATCTGCCTATAGCGATGTATGTGATGGTGGCAACATCTCAAGGTATGCTTCACATTGTCAGGACAAAGTGAACATGCTAACCAAAACAAAGAAAATGTGTGGTGAACAGTGTTAAACAAAACAAAAGTTAGCTTAAGAGTAGGTTATCCAGTCTGTAGACGTTATACAATATACATGAACTGAGGTGTACAAGCCTTACAGATTTGATTTAAAGTATAGAGATTAACTTAGATTACAGGCTCTTGGAGTAAGGAATCTCTAAAGGACCATACCTCATTCTGTGTAAGAAAGCGATCAGTAGGATACATTTTAAAGCAATGGTTTATGTCATTAAAATTTGACCATAAAACTTAAGACAAATATTTAAAAATTACAGGTTTAACTTTAAGGGTTCAGTAAACTGATCACATGACATCTGACCTTGAATTGTGACAGTGTCCTATATTATATTTATTGCCAAGAAAAATCTATTTTGAGAAGTGTTTTTGTTTTGGAAATGTACAAGAGTGGATGAAAACTTGAAGTTCAGATGACAGGATGATAAAGAACTGACATACGAATGATCTTCAGTGAAACAGCAGTGAACACAATTATTTTAACGCATGTTCAAGGATTGATGCACATGTTCAAGGATTGATACACATGTTCAAGAATTGATACACATGTTCAAGAATTGAAAAGTGTAACAGAATAGATGACGTTCACATACTTTATAAACCACTGCACACCCATGCAGAAATGCAGACCAAACATAGTCTAGTATAAAATGGATGTCACAGTTTGTGTCAAAACACAGATACACTGGCATGTATAACATATCACAAAAACATAAACATGATCTCAATACCTTACATGTTTTATCTAGTATTTAGACCTGCAAAGTTTCATAAATTAAAAAAAACAACCTATACATTTGTATAAAAAAAAATGTTTGCATTATGGGAACAACACCTACCATGCTTTATCACTGCAAGAGCAAAGTTTTATAAATTGAAAAACAAAACAACACATTTGTAAAATTAAAAGTATTTGCATTTTGGGTATCATTTTATCACTACAACTGGCACATTAAAAAAAAATGTTTGAAAATAAAACATTTCATTAAGACAGGTTGCTTACCACAGTTGTAAAATATAATGCTGATAAGACAAAAGAAAAGAAAATATTATTGTAAGTTTTAAATTCACTATGATTTCTATAAATATTAACCACTCCTTTCTTAACCAGGAAACTTCTAGATATATTTGGTTTTTTCCAATTTCAAATCTTAAACGTATGGAAGACCAGTTGTCACATAATTTATTTCATTGGTAGTCTACCCTGTAAATGCTCAAGTAAACAAAAATTTTAGTTTTATTACAAGTTTTATATGATACAAAAATAAATAAAAATGAAAAAAACTTTTCTCAAATAATCTTCACCACAACAGAAACCAGTAATTACAAATGTACAAAAAAAATCTCACTTTATATTGTAAGAAGTAAATGAGAAATGACTAGAAAAAATGACAAACAAATTAACTAAATTCTTTAAGACATTTACCCCTCACAGAATAATGAATTATAATAGCTACAATACTGACAGTTTGGTTTTATAAGATGTTTATGCATGACTAGAACTAGAATGTTCCAATTTTTAAGTCACACTGCACATGACGGTTGGCCAATGCTGGTGTAGCTTTGTCACATGTTTAGGTAGGCCAAGACTGGACTTAACAAGTGGTCATCACAGACTTAAATCATTGGCAGAACTTGCCAGTGCTGAACTCAATCAAGGGGACAGTACCAGACTCAATCAAGGGGACAGTACCAGACTCAATCAAGGGGACAGTACCAGACTCAATCAAGGGGACAGTACCAGACTCAATCAAGGGGACAGTACCAGACTCAATCAAGGGGACAGTACCAGACTCAATCAAGGGGACAGTACCAGACTCAATCAAGGGGACAGTACCAGACTCAATCAAGGGGACAGTACTAGACTCATCAAGGGACAGTACTGAGCATAAACCATATCAAATGGCTGAGTAAGAATTATGGAAAAAAAACTAAATGCACACAAATATTTTTGACAGATGACATTACAGTATATTATATAGAACATATTATAAATCAATCTTGAACCATAGTAAAATACTTCTATCCTGCATATCAGAAATCTAGGAACAAACTTAAACAACCAAACAATATATTTAGCATTTTTTATATTATTCTTCCTGGCTTTACAGAACCATGTACATTAACATTACCTTGGGGGACTTAGTTGGGTGGATGTTGGGGCGGCACCAAAGCCTATCTGCCGTCAATGAGACCTCTATCAGTGCAGGGGGATGTTATGGGACTGCAGGCAGAGTTTCTCTTATCCGCGTCTGGATCCGGGTTCTCCTCTATCCGGTTCTTTCTGAGTGTGGCAAAAATATCTTTAAACAGGGCCTTGTACGGGGGTATTTGACCACTGTCCTGGTAGTAGTCTCTATTGAGTGTCAGATGGAGCAGGGTTTGAACCTCTTTGTGGGCCAGCCTCTGTCTGCTTGAATCATCCTCACCATCTTTCTTACCTTTTGTCTGGCGAAGGATAAAAACAAATAATTAAATTAACAAATCAGTTCACAGATTGTTCCAGACCAGTGCAATCCCTAATGATGTGTTTATTGTTTCATTTGCTTTAATAATCCTCTCCACGGAACTAAAGACCACCTCTCTAGACAAGATTTTATAACTTGTTCATTTATTGCTAAAATTTATTACTAAAATAGAATGTCCTTTCTGTGGTTTTTTTTTTTTTTATATTTTTTAAAAACATTTTTTATTAGTATTTAAATACTAAGATTAAGAGAAAGAAAATTAAAAAAAAAAAGCTTAGTTTAGTTTTCAAACAGTTCCAATCATTTAATTTATACCTTTGATTATCATTTGCTTTACAACTATATAAGGTAACTACTTCTACAAAAACAATCAGGTTGATGTTACAAGGCAAAGAGAGAATGTGGATGTAATTAGGAGCAGGGAGCAGAATTCAGATAGACGTCACAGGGAAAAGATTGCAGTATTCAGGTGGACTTCACAGGAAAAAAGCCCACATCATCTCTTGAGGAAGCTGTGAACCCCCAACCAAAAGTCGGCACATAAACCCCAAATGGATGAGATGGCTAAATTATATAATCAATGTGACTGAATCAGATATACACGCATTAGTAGTAGTAGTCCACCCAGTGTTTCTTCCAGACTTTTTTCTCCGGGGGGGGGGGGGGGGGCGCACTTGAAATCTTCGGGGGGGGGGGGGGCGGTAAACTTTCTTTGGGGGGGGGGCGGACACTGTTAAAAGTATATATTTTCTATATAAATTATATAAATTTCATTTCGTTCGGGTGGCGGTAAAAAATTTTCGGGGGGGGGGGGGGGGGGGGCTTCGACCCCCCCGAAGAGATGCCTGGAAAAAAATCTGAGTCCACCCATTAACGAAGGGTAGAAAACATGTTTATGATAGAGGGTAATATACCATTCACTGAACCCATTCACAATACGCCTTAATCAGCGTGGGCCGCACGGCCATTGATCTTTACCGGCTATGTAGGTGTTAGTGCGCTAATGTCCTTCCATCCTAAATATAAAACACATTGCACTAACTGACAGCTTGGTCAATGTGGCGGCAGACACCACGATGTTTACGTTGAACCTTTGGTTATGTTTGGTCCTAGGATATCTGCTGGGTGTTGTGTTTGAGACAGGTTGCGTTAGTACCGAGACTAACCAAATTTGTAGAGAGGGGAGTCTGTACAGGACTATAGACGGGAGCTGTAACAACTTGCTGAAGCCGTGGCTCGGCATGGCCGGCTCCGTGTTCAGACGGATCCTACCGGCGCAGTACGAGGGCGGCGACGGACGCACCCCGAGGTTAACGGGGAGGAGGGGGGCACGGTTGCCCAGCCCACGCCTGGTGAGTACTGCCGTGCACGTGTCGGAGAACCACACCGACACAACGGCGACCGCGATGCTCATGCAGTGGGCGCAGTTCCTTGACCACGATCTGACCAGCACACCCAAGTCGGTGATGGAGGGCAAGTGTTGTTCGCACGAGATGGTCAGAGGTGGTCAGCAACACCCTGATGTCTACACAGGAGGTCCGTGTTTCCCCATCATCATACAGCACGACGACCGTTATTTCAATACCTCGGACACCAGGTAGGGGCTTTTCAAGATGTTTTTATTTTAAGTATCAAGATGTATGTTTAGTACAAATTAACAACACAACAAATTTAAACCCGCGGATTCAGGACATCCAGGTGGTCAGCCCTAGCAGGGCTTCTTTCAGACCATTTGCTCCGGGTATGGGGAATTTTAAAACTTCTGGGGAAGGAGGGGGTATTTAATATAGAGTTAAATTTCATATTTATTTATATTTCGACTTCATCCTGGGGGCGATGGACTATGTGGGTGGGCCCGGGTGAGACGTAAAAGAAGCAACACTAAACCCCAGCCATACAAGCTGACCAGACTGTTAGGGCTGATCCTGGCCACAATCGCAGTGAGCCTTGTCTATCGGGTTCCCCTAACAGGTTTTACCGACAGCAGTGTCCACACCAAGAAAGAAAGCATTATTTCTTTCGGTCAAACTTTTGCTGTAGTGGTTGTCAGGGTGGGGAGGGAAGAGGGGGGGGGGGGGGCTACATGCGAGTGGTATTTTGTCTTTGGACTATTTAAAAATATCAAAATCCTACAGAAACACACGTATTATCTAGAAACAGAAATAAAAACAGCAAGTAAATGCGTTGTAATGTTTACTAGGTGCATGGAGTTTACCAGATCTGATGCGAGGACAGACGCCAACAACACCAGACAACAGTACAACAACAACACCGCCTGGCTCGACGCCTCGCACGTGTACGGCAGCAGTCAGGAACTGGCCGCAAGTCTCAGGTCTTTCAAGGACGGCAAACTCAAGGTCATCGTCCGGAACGGTGAGGAGTTTTTACCGGAGCTGGAGGACCCCGACTCCTGCTTTAAGCTGAATCACGGGGACTACTGCTTCAAGGCTGGGGACAGCAGGGTCAACGTGTACCCCGGCTTGTCGCTGCTGCACACCGTATTCCTCCGCTATCACAACAAAATGGCCGATAGGTTAAAGGTCACCCGTCCAGACTGGGACGACGAAAAGCTGTACCAAGAAACACGCCGTATCGTCATAGCAGTCATCCAGCGGGTCACGTACGGCGAGTTTATCCAGCACATTTTAGGCGAGCAGGCGTACACACTCCTGCACGGGCATCACGTGTACGACCCCAATATCGACCCCACACTCTCTAACGTCTTCTCGACCGCGGCTTACAGGTTCGGTCACTCCCTAGTACCAGACGGTCTGACGATCAGCGGTCAGTACGTGCCCACGGCGTCATTACTTCTGAGACCCAGTTACGTGCTGAGCTCCTTCAAGCAGCTCACGGAAGCGCTTCTGTCCGAGCCGTGTCAGAAGCCTGACCGCTACTACAGCCAGGAGATGACCGATAAGATGTTTGAAAAACCCGACAAACCCCGGACAGGGTTCGACATCGTCGCCCTCAACGTACAGAGAGGACGTGACCACGGTCTGCCGGGATACAACGACTGGCGGGAGTTTTACGGGCTGGCGAGAAAAACGTTTCAAACTCTGGACTCTGGTCGGGCCAAGTTCAAGCAAGTGTACGACTCAGCGGAGGACATTGACCTCTACAGCGGCGCTATCAGTGAGGCGCCAGTCAGAGGCGGAGCGGTGGGGGAACTGTATTCTAGAATTCTCAGTGAACAATTCACCAGGCTCAAATATGGAGACCGGTTCTGGTTCGAGAACGTTAATGACGTCACTTCCTTCACTCCCCAGCAGGTGGCGGAGATTTCAAAGATTAGTTTAGCTAAGGTAATCTGTGAGACTGTACCCGGGATAGGCGGGGTGCAGAGGAATCCCTTCAGGCCTATTGGCAGTGAGAACCCTCGAGTGGCCTGTGGTTTTCTACCGGACATAAACGTCGAGATACTCTGTGCCACGCCATCTCCGATCTACCACAAATGACAACAACGTTTAGGAAAGGGATGAAATTAATTATAAAAAATATTCATTTATTTCACACACATTATCTGGTTTATGGAACCGAAATACTTTAACTATAATAAACATAAATTATGTTATATATAATTTTTTAACCGTCAAATTGGGTAAAAAAAAGTACAACCGAAGTCCTAACATGCAAATAATGCATATAAAACATTTCTTATTCCCCAGAGCGGGCAAGAATCTGATGGATAAAAATATTCTTGCAATCGCGATTTTTAAAAGAATTCTAATTTTGGAATATAAATTATTTTATTTTAAGGATTAAATTGCTAAAGTAAGTAAGTTCTCTTTTCGTACCTGACGGTCCATGGGGCAAGTGAAGCAGAGTTCAACTCGGTCTATGAAAGAATAGTGTGGTCAGCACTACACCCAGCCGTCTTTACTTTCCCTAACGTTACTTAGGTACCCATCAGAGCTGGGTGGAATCAGGGACGTGCCATTGACTTGAACCGGAAATCGAACACAAGACTTAATAGTCTGGCGCTCTACCGCTAGGCCACATCGCCCCATAATTACATTTTCTAATATATATTTTTTTAAATAAAGTTTTTTTTTAAAGTAATAGTATGGCTTCTGTGTTTTATTTATTGTCTTAAAAAGAAGCGCTGCTATCTTGTTTTAAATGGCGATAATATTAATTGATAGTGTTAATTGAACCCATTTTGATTACATTTACACGTATCTTCTCATTTTATAAAACAATGTATACAATGTTATATCAAGTAGCCTACACGAATTAAAAAATGTATGGACCTATTTCTTAATCATTTTAAAAATACTAACGCTTTATGTAACAGTTATCAATGTCTGTTGGCTATCCCAAACTTAGTCCCAGGCTCCAACCCGGCCAACAAATACAAACCCAGACACCAACCCAGCCAACAAACCTAGACTCAACCCCTGACAACAAATACAAACCCAGATTCCAAACCAGCCAACAAACCCAGACTCAACCCCTGACAACGAAAACAAACCCAGCCTTCAACAACCATATTTCTTGCCCAGCTAAATGATTATCTGTATCCAATAAGACGACCAAGCTTCTTAGTTCAGCGAACTTTAACCTACTAGTTTAAATTGATTACTATTTAAGGGCCAGTTAATATTTGAGCGTTGTAATTATAAAATTGTAAGAGTGATAGGAAATATCACAAACTATCGCTAATGATTATAACTGTAAACCGATGACGTAATTATCAAAGGCAATACAAACTAATGACACAACAATAGGAAATATCTAGGACTAGTATAGTCGATTTTTTAAAAATTAAAAAAAAAAGACTTCTTTTAATTAATGTACGACACAAGCTTTACCGTAAGATCGAAATTGTTACTTTAGGGGTCATTCATAAATGACGTCACACTCGTAGGGGGGAGGGGGGGGGGGGGTCCGTAATTTTGTGACGATGTGTGATGAGGGGGAGGGGGGGGGGGGGTCAGATGTTGCGACGTCACATTTTTGCATTATAAAAAAGCAATGTTAGAAAACGAATTTTAGACGTTATTTCGCGTTTTAGATAACTGTTTTAATAAATTGTAATAGTTTAGACAAGATTTTGGAAAAATATCGATGTTTTTAAAAAATTCAACTGCAATTTTGAGGGGGGTTGTAGGTTGAGGTGTGACGTCATTTTAGGGGGGGGGGTCTGGCTTTTTGTGACGCCGTGTGACGGAGGGGAGGGGGGGGGTAAAAATCGTCAAAAAAAGCGTGACGTCATTTATGGATGACCCCTTACAAGAAAAAAAATGTCGCTTAACACACACATTTCTTATCCAGTTTAAGTAAAGGTGACCGGTTGGACTCTAGATGACTAGAATAACTGCTAGAATACATTAGCCTAGGTTACCGTTAATTGGTGTTGTTAGAGACTTGTGGTAGAGGTCGACGCTTTAATTGACGGTTAGCAAAGCCTTAAAGATAATCATGATGATGCTTGAATATATCTGTATCTGTATATATCTTCTACTTACCTACCTAACTTCATATATATATATATATATATATATATATATATATATATATATATATATATATATATATATATATATATTGGCGATAGCTGTAACTCTGGGTGAGACAACTTTCATTTTGTGGGTTCAAGATAGGGAGATGGGGGTGGTTTACACCCCTCACCCCAACACCCCGCCACCAACACTATGTATGCCACACACGCTACATACATTGTTTTGAGGAATATCCAAATAGCGAGAAACGCGACGCCACTTTATGTTAAGGCTCTCGAAAACACCATGATTGGCCATCAGCTGACTGAGTTGTGTGATAAATCAAACTAAGTAGTGTTTTATCTACATGTATCTGTATAAATCAAACTAAGTAGTGTTTTATCAACATGTATCTGTCATAAATCACACCACTAGTATTGTATCTACATGTATCTGTCACAGGAAACGTCAATGCTTGTCCTATATCACACTAGCACTCGCCCACAAGCTTATCAACATGTCATTCGCGTTGACATCTCCATAAACATGTCATTTACGTCAGCACCACCAGGTCATTTACCTCTCCATCAACATGTCATTAACATTATCGTCAGCAGTATGCCGGCACTGAACATGTTTCTGTTTCAATACTAAAATCAAAATTAACAGAAATGTAGAGACTATTGTTGAATGAGCGTTTTATAATGAGGCTATTACTACAGTTGATGTTTATAAAACTAAAATCAAGGTACAGCAAATAGCTGAAATAGCCGTCGTTAAGACTGAACAGAGTTATCAGAATGAATGCGAATCAAGCAATTACCAGATTCGCCTTGTGAACATGCGTTAAGTCAGACATTAATTAAACACTAGATTCAGCTCACTTTGCAAAGCCTCAAAATTTGAATTTGCTCTCATTAAAGTTTCATGCAATCATATTCAGAACGTTACAAATTATGATGTAAGTCACTAATTCTACATCTCTATTGGGCAGACCCTCAATTTTAGAAATGAAACCTGAAATCCACATAGCTCACCTATCAGTAGGTAGCGAAGGTTTAAAATTCCCAAACACTTTTATTCTAGTTCCTCTCACAATCATCATCTTCTCCCTTGTGTGCCTTAGACACATGGGGCCGCCACAGAAAGCTATCACAATGTCTAATACAAAACATGTCAAACCATGTATTTAAAACTGCTCCGTTTTTATTCTTTTGCATAACAATTAAATTTGTATTAGGGTATGTCTACTTGATTTTATCATTTACTGCCCTAGATAAGAAAGCAAATACTGGACAACTCATTACGAACATTGGACAACCCTTTACAAACACCGGGCAACCTATTATGAACACTGGACAACCTATAGAACACTAGGCAATCCATTACGAACACTGGACAACCTATAACGGACACTAGACAACCCATTACGAACACTGGACAACCTATGGGACACTAGACAACCCATTACGAACACTGGGCAACCTATAACGGACACTAGGCAACCCATAACGAACACTGGATAATCTATAACTAGACAACCCATTACGTAGCCATATGGTGCCTTGACCGTGCCGTTAAACCTGTCAGATGGGCTGAAGGTGGGGGGGGGGGGGGGTGAAATGGGCCAGGGCAAGCTGCTGATACCGGGCGGGGGGGGGGGGGGAGAGAAAGGTGGGAAATCAATAAAGTAAACACCTGAGTCAGTTACTCTTTGTGTTTTAGATCAGTTGTGGAATTGTGTCATAGTTACTCTATGTGTTGTTGTTTTAGGTCAGTTGTGGAATTGTGTTATAGTTACTCTATGTGTTGTTGTTTTAGGTCAGTTGTGGAATTGTGTTATAGTTGCTCTATGTGTTGTTGTTTTAGGTCAGTTGTGGAATTGTGTCATAGTTGCTCTATGTGTTGCTGTTGTCATTCACAGTGTTTTAGATCAGTTGTGGAATTGGTGCCATGGCTCACTTGGGGTGGTTCAACAGTAAATATCATGTGTGATGTAGGCTTCTGTAGTTTACTTGTGTGGTCAAAAGTAATGTCAGGGTTGTCATTTTAGTTGTCATTTGTCAATACCCTGTGACCAGAGGCTCACTCACCGTGTGGTCGATTGTTTGGGTCAACTTTTAACTCACTGAGAGGTCAACTTTAAACTCCTTCTCAGGTCAACTTTAAACTCCTCAGGTCAACTTTAAACTCCTTCTCAGGTCAACTTTAAACTCCTTCTCAGGTCAACTTTACTCCCTGTGAGTTCAACAGTCAACTCGATGTGATCTTTATAAAAGCCACCCTAGTGTATTTGATGGGAGATAATTGAAAGCTAAGGGAGGTAACATCCCAGTCTGCTGCAACTCAGGTAAAAAAAGGATGACAGTCCCCTGTGATATTTGTCTTCTCAGATTACATCACATTGACAACATATTTCACAAGGGGAGGATACTCTCTCAATTTTTAAATGTGAAATGTTTGTCAAATCTGGGGTTCTCATTCTCCTCCCCTTACACCATTTTTAATTAAATAGGAGACAAGGGAGACAATCTAAAAAATGTTTTTTTTTTATAAATTTCCTGCATAAATCTTGTACATTCAGGAGATCAGAAAACAGGATAGATAAATAAGACATGTTTTAAAAATTCAACAGTTGGATAAATTAAAAGTTTAAAAAGACATCAGTTAGAGAACTAAAATTTATTTGAAGGTGTAAAAATTTGAGAAACTAAAAAGTGGGATGAGTATGCTGCACAAAAAATAAAAAAATGCTGACCTGTATGAGAGCCTGGTACTTTGTGAAGAGGGACTGGTACTGGGACTCTAGCTCATCCAGGATGGATAAGCTGGCATCCTCTCCCACCTGGATTTCCTTGGCATCCGTCGCAACTTTGTTAATGGATTCTACAAAAAATAGCAACTTTGTTAATTGATTCTACAAAAAATAACAACTTTGTTAATGGATTCTACAAAAAAATATCTTTGTTAATAGATTTTACAAAAATAACAACTTTGTTAATTGATTCTACAAAAATAACAACTTTGTTAATGGATTCTACATGCAATAACCACTTTGTTAATGGATTCTACAAAAAATAACAACTTTGTTAATGGATTCGAAACACACACACAAAAAAAACCTAAGCAACACAAAATAAATTGAAATGATTAAATACCTTATATTTTGAATGTTTACTTTTACCTGTGATAATACTGCATCTATTATAGCCTAATCTTAACTGAACAAGGATTTAATTAATGTCTTATTCAAAAAGTAAAAAGTAAGAAATTAGAATGAATTGAAGATGTTTATCAAGAATTGCACCTGTACTTACCTGTACTGCTGTGTAAGATCAACTGTAACCTACCGTTCATGCTTTATTAAATCACCTTTAACCTACCTGTAGTACTGCATAAAACATCTGTAAACTACCTGTAATACTGCATAAAAGCACCTTTAACCTACCTGTAGTACTGCACAAAAACACCTGTAAACTACCTGTAATACTTCATAAAAAAACCTGTACCTACCTGTACCACTGTATAAAAACACCCATAACCTACCTGTACTAATGTTTAAAAGCACCTATCACCTACCTGTACTGCTGTATAAAAACACCTATAACCTACCTGTACTAATGTTTAAAAGCACCTATAACCTACCTGTACTGCTGTATAAGATCACCTATAATCGACCTGTACTGCTGTATAAGATCACCTGTAACCTACCTGTACTGCTGTATAAGATCACCTGTAACCTACCTGTACTGCTGTATAAGATCACCTATAATCGACCTGTACTACTGTATGAAACCACTTAAAACCTACCTGTACTGCTGTATAAGATCACCTGTAACCTACCTGTACTGCTGTATAAGATAACCTGTAACCTACCTGTACTGCTGTATAAGATCACCTGTAACCTACCTGTACTGCTGTATAAAAACACCTGTAACCTACCTGTACTGCTGTATAAGATCACCTATAACCTACCTGTACTGCTGTATAAGATCACCTGTAACCTACCTGTACTGCTGTATAAGATCACCTATAACCTACCTGTACTGCTGTATAAGATCACCTGTAACCTACCTGTACTGCTGTATAAGATCACCTATAACCTACCTGTACTGCTGTATAAGATCACCTGTAACCTACCTGTAACCTACCTGTACTGCTGTATAAGATCACCTGTAACCTACCTGTACTGCTGTATAAGATCACCTGTAACCTACCTGTACTGCTGTATAAGATCACCTGTAACCTACCTGTACTGCTGTATAAGATCACCTGTAACCTACCTGTACTGCTGTATAAGCTCACCTGTAACCTACCTGTACTGCTGTATAAGATCACCTGTAACCTACCTGTACTGCTGTATAAGATCACCTGTAACCTACCTGTACTGCTGTATAAGATCACCTATAACCTACCTGTACTGCTGTATAAGATCACCTGTAACCTACCTGTACTGCTGTATAAGATCACCTATAACCTACCTGTACTGCTGTATAAGATCACCTGTAACCTACCTGTACTGCTGTATAAGCTCACCTGTAACCTACCTGTACTGCTGTATAAGATCACCTGTAATCTACCTGTACTGCTGTATAAGATCACCTGTAACCTACCTGTAGTGCTGTATAAGATCACCTGTAACCTACCTGTACTGCTGTATAAGATCACCTGTAACCTACCTGTACTGCTGTATAAGATCACCTGTAACCTACCTGTACTGCTGTATAAGCTCACCTGTAACCTACCTGTACTGCTGTATAAGATCACCTGTAACCTACCTGTACTGCTGTATAAGATCACCTGTAACCTACCTGTAGTGCTGTATAAGATCACCTGTAACCTACCTGTAGTGCTGTATAAGATCACCTGTAACCTACCTGTACTGCTGTATAAGATCACCTGTAACCTACCTGTACTGCTGTATAAGATCACCTGTAACCTACCTGTACTGCTGTATAAGATCACCTGTAACCTACCTGTACTGCTGTATAAGATCACCTATAACCTACCTGTACTGCTGTATAAGATCACCTGTAACCTACCTGTACTGCTGTATAAGCTCACCTGTAACCTACCTGTACTGCTGTATAAGATCACCTGTAACCTACCTGTACTGCTGTATAAGATCACCTGTAACCTACCTGTACTGCTGTATAAGATCACCTGTAACCTACCTGTACTGCTGTATAAGATCACCTGTAACCTACCTGTACTGCTGTATAAGATCACCTGTAACCTACCTGTACTGCTGTATAAGATCACCTGTAACCTACCTGTACTGCTGTATAAGATCACCTGTAACCTACCTGTACTGCTGTATAAGATCACCTGTAACCTACCTGTACTGCTGTATAAGATCACCTGTAACCTACCTGTACTGCTGTATAAGCTCACCTGTAACCTACCTGTACTGCTGTATAAGATCACCTGTAACCTACCTGTACTGCTGTATAAGATCACCTGTAACCTACCTGTAGTGCTGTATAAGATCACCTGTAACCTACCTGTAGTGCTGTATAAGATCACCTGTAACCTACCTGTACTGCTGTATAAGATCACCTATAACCTACCTGTACTGCTGTATAAGATCACCTGTAACCTACCTGTACTGCTGTATAAGATCACCTGTAACCTACCTGTACTGCTGTATAAGATCACCTATAACCTACCTGTACTGCTGTATAAGATCACCTGTAACCTACCTGTACTGCTGTATAAGCTCACCTGTAACCTACCTGTACTGCTGTATAAGATCACCTGTAACCTACCTGTACTGCTGTATAAGATCACCTATAACCTACCTGTACTGCTGTATAAGATCACCTGTAACCTACCTGTACTGCTGTATAAGCTCACCTGTAACCTACCTGTACTGCTGTATAAGATCACCTGTAACCTACCTGTACTGCTGTATAAGATCACCTGTAACCTACCTGTACTGCTGTATAAACTGCCGCCAGACTCCAACTTCACAGCTTTAGCCTCAGATCTCAGCTCTGGGTCGTCGTGCTCCAGCTCACTCAACATCCTGGTCTCCGGCTCGTGAAGCTCCCCATGAATATCCAGAACATCCGCATATGTCCCCACAGACTTCCTGTACAACAGATCCGGGCTACTCCTAGCCCTCTCCAGCTCGTACTGGATCATGATGGCTTCGGATAGTTTGGTCTCTAACACAGTTACTTTTTTGGCCAGGCTTTGATTCTCTTCAATTAACACAGAACACTCTACCTCCACGTCCTCCATTTTTCTCCTGTCAATGGTCTGTTGCACTTTCATGCGCTGGACTGTTTCTTGGAGTTTTCTGATCTCAATCTCGTACGGGTTAAGCGGAATATTTTTAAACTGGTCTGAATATGTCCACGCCAGATTTTCAAAATAAAATCCAGAATTTTGATCTTTTGAGTCACTGAGGCTGAGTCGGTTTAAGCTGGATGTCCGACGTTTGTCTGGAACTTTTTTGTTGGCCTTTTTCTCCGCAGCTTTCAGGTCGTCCAATTTCTTTTGTAAGTCATCGACCTTATCCTCCAGCTGGTTTATGAGAGCAGACTGCCTGTGGACGACACAACAGTATTTAATACAGGTCAGTAAAGATCTCACCAGTACCTCTACTGCAGGGGTCTCCAAAATTTTCAGGCCGAGGGCCGCATTAACTATCAAATATCAAATTTGAGGGCCAGTTTCCAGGCATCTCTCTAGGGTGTCAGAGCCCCCCCCCCCCCCCCCGAAAGAACGTATATCCCCCTCAGCCGCCATCTCCAACAAAACATTTTTACGTGGACAAAAAGATATCAGCAGGCCAGATGAGAGGACCTTGCAGGCCATAGTTTGGAGACTCCCTGCTCTACTGTTACACATCTTGAGTCAGTAACTTATCATTGAGTCTATCCAGCTCTAAATAGTTCCCTGACCTAATTAGCGAAAGTTAAGATTACTATTTTTAGTGCCAACCACACAATCCCTTAGCATGCTGAGGTCAAAGAAAAAGAGACTTCATCTGATCTATTAGGCTACTTGACTTTTAATCACACTCAAATTGAGCAGCAGTTATTGCTTAAAAATAATTAATGTCACAATATGCAGAAACTTAATATATTAGACCCAAAATCTGCTTGCTATTATGTATCCGGTTACTATTTTAAATTTATCACTTGTATATTGCAAAAACTTATAACAAACATTGTATGCACTTTAAATAGTGGCTGGATTAAATATATTTATAGTTAGTTTTGTACAATTTTATTTTGTACCACAATCTTGTGGTTTACAAATAACAAAAGCAGAGCAAATTGTAACCAAATCCAGAGCAGCAGCCATGATGAAAAGAGAAGCTAACTTTGAGATTTAATACATGTTATCCAAAACCTTTCTTAAAGACGTTTATTTCATTGAAACAGTATTAGGCCTTATCTAATATCTGCTTGATCAACATATGATCTTACCATAAAATTAAAATAAAATTTCTTAACATTTAGATTAATTATCATGAAAAGTAGCCTTAAATTACACCACAAAGTTGAAAGTAGACATTACAAAAATTACTACAAAACACAGTTTATCAACAGAAAAAAAAAAAGATTATTACTTATCAATTTTCTGTTTGTCTGCCCTTGCTTCCATGATCAACTTTTGATTGTTTTTCTCCAGGTCCTGAGCTGTCCTGTCCACCTCTTCATAGATTCTGTTTCTTGACTCGGTCATTGTCCGCATTGTGTCCAGTTGAGATTTCAAATACTGAAAGAAAACAAATTCGGTATAAGTATGTTAGTATTTGAGTTATTAAAGCAAATAAACTGGGGATAAGTATCTAAAATTAAGAATCATAATCTGGTTTAGTTAATACTAAAAATTTTTAGAAATAATAACTACAACTAATACAGAACTTGTAGGAATACCCACATAAAAATGAAGATTATAAAACATATCTTAATAACTTTTAAATGCTCAAACTGTTCATTTTGCATAAAGAAAGTTGGAAATAATTTATTTGTGCTTTTATTATTGCACTGAAAATCAAGAGTTCTATACTACTAACAGTATTTATACCAACATTTCTACATGTCTCTGTACAGATATCAAATATCAACTCTTCTTTTAATGACAACCTACCTGTCCTGTCAGCCTAACTGTTGTGTCAGTATACCTGTTGTGTCAGTATACCTGTTGTGTCAGTATACCTGTTGTGTCAGTATACCTGTTTTGTCAGTATACCTATTGTGTCAGTATACCTGATGTGTCAGTATACCTGTCAGCCTACCTGTATCTCCAGGGTTTGATCCTGGTTCTGGGCCTGCACCTGCACCAACTGAGATTCCAGCTCTCTGTTTTTTTCCAACAAGGCTTTACCCAGCTCTGCAGCCAGTTGAAGATCTGGACAATGAGAAACAGAAAGACAACTTTACAAAAAGGCTTTAGCCAGGCCAACAGAAGATCTTAACCCTAAACTATAATGAAAAACAGAAAAAAACTTTTTAACAAGGCTTTATGCCCAACACTGTGGCCAGCTGAAAATCTGCACAATTTAATATCAATTGTTCATATTATCAAAAAATATAAAATATAAATTGTGGGGCTGTTATGAGGGGAAGGTATCCAGAGTTTCTTCCAGGCATCTCTTCGGGGGGGCGAAGCCCCCCCCGAAAAATTTTTACCGCCCCCCCGAACGGAATGAAATTTATATAATTTATATAGAAAATATATACTTTTAACAGTGTCCGCCCCCCCGAAGAAAGTTTACCGCCCCCCCGAAAATTTCAAGTGCCCCCCCGGAGAAAAAAGTCTGGAAGAAACACTGAAGGTATCTGACATTGTGTGGCTATGTGTTATGGGGGTGGGGGGGGGGGGAATTGTTAAAACCATCACACAAAAAAGTGTGACATCATAAATTAAAATTTGTCAAAGACCCCATACTGAACAAGTTATGATGTGTCAGTCCAACATTACCTGTATGTTGTATTGAATTTGTCCCTAGTGAGACACATTTAAACTTTACACAGAGGAGAGGCTAACAGTTTTGGTCTAGTTTACCTAGTGGGAGTCTGCTGTGTGTTCTAGCATCCTATGATAACATAATTAATAAGTATATATAGCCTCCTGCAGTTTCAAGTTTTCATAAGAGCACTACAAGAAAGGGGTAGTGATTATAAGTATTGAAAAAAAAGAGAATACTAAGTCTTGTTTGCTTGGTGTAGCAAACCCTTTTTGCAGCCACTTTTTCTTTCAGGCATATTGTCTACCCCAAACCCCCCCCCCCCCCACCCCCTGGACAAAATGGACATTAATGGAAAAATAGACTTGTAGAAAATGTATACCTAACCATAAGCCGACCCTCTCCCCCATTAGAAGTTTTAAGTCTCCTCACCCCCCCCCCCCCCCCCCCCGCCGAAATGTCTGAAAGAAACCAAGTTTGCAATTTATAAATTTATGATAACATTAATCGTTTATTAATTAGAGACAAGAGAATTAGCTAGAAATACAAACTAGCTAGAAAATGGCATTGGTTAGAAAAGGGCATTAATTAGAAAAGGGCATTGGATAGAACAGGGCATTGGCTAGACCAGCTGTTCTCTGAAAGTCATTAAGCTGCTTGAAGATCATGGACAAATTGTTAGTAACACCAGATGGAATTGTGTAAGCAAATATTTTTAACTGCTACCAAATTTGTCCAAATGTTGGCTGGATATTCCACCAGACTGATTTATTTGATATTTATTGGTGAACTCGACATTTAGCTATTCCTCATTTACATTGGCTTTCCTGTAGATAGGCCTAAGTGCAACAAAAGTGCAACAAATGTGCAACAAATTTTGGGACGCATTATGGGATACTATGACGTCACTTTTAGGCCGTGTTAGACGTAGGGAAAATATGAGGCGCAGAAACGGGTTTTATTTAGACTTTGGGGCCTAGGGCTACACTTTGCAAAACATGAAGAAATTTTAATCCACCCTCGATGGACATTTACTCTACGCAGATATGTGCAAAAGATGGCCAGTTATCCGATGACGGAGAGATACCCTTTCAAACTTTTTTTAACGCCTAAGTTTATCTATTTATGCTGTAAATGTAAACAAAAAAAAAATGGCGTCCAGATTTTTTTACATGACAAAACTGGGTTAATCGAAATGCTGCATGTGTGAGATAACACAATAAAACACTGGGGAATTGTATGGACCTATTATTGGTGACCTGTGTGGCTTTGGTAAGCTTTGTGAGATAATTGACAGCTTGCTGACTTTGTGATCGCTGGACTAAGCTTGCGGCTTATACATAAACTACAGCCTAAGGAAGAGGAGACATAGTTGGTTGTCAGGAATAGATCAATATTTCGCAGCTAGTTCTGTCAAGTTTAAAAAATGTAGGCCCTATTCAAAGAGGGGTCCAGTATTGGACAGGTTTTAATAGCCATTCCTTTAGGTCACTAGCGATAGCCATGTAATACGTCACGGCTATTTTTAGAAAATGTCCATCACAGGGCAAAAATCGAAAAAGCGAATGGCGGGACCTCGTGTGTGTAATTTGTTGGTCATTTCGTCACGTGTCCATCTCGTGGGTGATGTGACTTACACAGAGGCGTACCAAGGGTAGGCCAAAATCTGGAGTGTGCTACGACAGTGTACAGGCGCGTAAATTTTGATAATCTGCGATAGGGCTTGCCATATGAATATAGAACCACGCCGTTGATCTTAATTAAAAATCACTGAAAACTAGTTCAAGTATTATATAGGCCTACGCTCATAAAATAATTCGCTCTAGTAATTTTTAAAGGGGGATGTTAACTCACGACAGATTGCGAACTTTTGAAATATGTTTTTCCACCATATCGAGTAAACAAGTAGGTCCAGGGGTGGGGGTGTCATGGGACTTACTTGCCCTAGGGTGGGAGTGGGGTATCATGAAACTTACTTGCCCTAGGGTGGGGGTGGGGTATCATGAAACTCACTTGCCCTGGGGTGGGGTGTCATGGGACTTACTTGCCCTAGGGTGGGGGTGGGGTATCATGGCACTCACTTGCCGTATGGGGGGGGTGGGTAGTCATGGCCCTCAATTGCTATAGAATGGGGGTAGTTCGTCATGGCACTATCTTGCCTTTGGGTGGGGGGGATGTCATAACTCACTTGCCCTGGAATGGGGGTGGGGGCACTCATTTACCCTAGGATGGGGAGGAGGATGTCATGAGACTCACATGACACTGAATGCCATCTCATCATTCCCTTCAGTGACAAAAAAAACTAAATATTCAAACATGTCTATGCTAAATTATCTTCCAACACGCGAGCTTGTCTTGAGCAAGTGTGTTTACGGAAAGGGATTACCCCCGTCATTATATTCTATCGATTTCAGCAAACTTGCCTTGACATTTGCACGATGGCGCACGGTTGTCAACTGTTGCGCGATGAATAATCCGTGAGCGGAAATTTTTATTCTATCACCAGGGGACCGGTGGCTTGTGTTCAAACACCAACTGGGACAGCGAGGGTCGCACGAGACTTATTTACATTTGACCTCAATGCTGGTGTTTGAGAGACTAGTGCCGATGCTTTAACTCAGGACGGTTTACACAGGGTGGCCCTAGGCTGCATACCTAAAAGAGTTTGAATACACTGAAATGTTGTGATTAGGGAGCCATCAGCACAGAAATATTTGACATTGTGAGAACGTTTGTGAATGGGAGACGAGTGGGGGGGGGGAGGGGGTTGGCGTATAGAGTTGTGTGACGACGCGTTACGATATTCGGGGTTGGGTGAGGGTAAAATTGTCAGACATTTGTTCACGGAAAATACTGTATTTTTAATTAAACCATTAATTTAAAAAAAAAAAAAAACACTAAATTGCTATTAGGCCTAACGACATTTTTAAAAGTAGGCCCAGTTACAACTCTACATAGATTTAAATGTTTACTTCTATCTTATTTTTACACGTTGACAACAAAAACAACAACAACATGCGTGAGAAAAGTCACGTGATGTTGTGTAAACAAACCAGTCTTGGATTTTTATCTTGTGTTGATCACTGGCCACACCCCCCCCCCCCCCCTCCTTAAAAAACAAAAACACCAAGCTTGACCTAAATAAATTATCTCAGTATACCTACCAGGTAACTACTCCCTATATGCAATTTAAAAAAAAAACGATATCTCCATAAAACAGGTTACGGTCTTATACAAGTAGTAGGCCTACATTGTAATGTAGATCTAGTTACCGAGGCCGCAAGAGAAAAGGTAAACTGCTCTAGTGAGGCTTTATAAGGGGAAAATGCAATGAAATACCGCGAGAATACCATCCACTCTTGCGCGACATGAGTGTCCAGTTCTACAGTCCGCACAGTGTCCACTACGGTAGCCGCCACCATCGACAGCGGCACGTCACAGATCTTGATGTGTGAGTGACATTAGGAACGTGTGACACGATGAGCGAGTGCACACAATAGCTCGGTGTGAGTAGTGGATCAACATAAGTGGGACACGTTTAAAAATAGAACGCTGGCTATGGAAGCACGTGTTGGACTGCAGGTGTAAACGAATAGTCTACTAGTAGATCTAAGTCAGTCTATTTATGTTGGTGATCTTCATTAGATTTGCTAAGTAATTGAACCGTGCTACATAAACGACTAATGGAATGATTTTTTTTTTGGCGAGGGGTCTACATTTGAGCGAGTGTCTGATAAAAATGGATAGCGTCCTAAATGCGCAACAATCAGTTTTTTTTGTTTCCATTATTATCTTATTTCCATCACAGGCTCACCACACATATTTTTTTTATAATTAATTGTTAATTGTTTGATTAAGTACAGCCGCATAATTACATCACCTGATGAACAATAGGACCCGGTCATACCATAGCCTTAGGGTCTATCGATTATACAATAAACGACACACACATGTTATACATGTTGCAAAACACTAGACTTTAATGTAACAAAAACTTGTAAGCAGTGTGTTCTAGCTGTCATGTGCTCAACCAGGTTTTGATGTTGTGAATTTTAGGAAAACTGAGGGTAAGGGAAGATAAGGGAAGAGTATTAATAAAGGAGGGAGGGGGAAAGGGGTTTGATAATGAGATTAATAAATGCTCATCATTATTCGAGGTATACGCCTACAATACCATTATGAATGAGGTGTCACTGAAACATTGCATTTTAAAATGCTGCGATTTATCCTTGCACTGTTAGACTGTAGCTAACATTTAGCCTGTAGCCTATTATTTAGATTGTAGCTATCCAAACTATTTCTCACTGTACCGTGTAGAGAGGTCAACATTACAGGTACCCTAACATGATTTGACATGAAACAGGGTCACTGGGTGATTTTCCGATGACTCGAAGATGACGAGGGACAAGATAACGGGCAATTACAACCGTACGGATAGCCACGTCTGATAAAACCCGACCGTCAGCCACGTTCAACACACGGATGAGTCACCACCACGGTTCTCCACAGCTCCCAGAGAAATCAATACACGACACCCACAACATTGCTGGCCAGACTCTGTGAGGGGGGGGGGAGCGGTGGCAGGCATCAACACAGTGCCACTACGACCCAGCCATGACTCGGTCTACTTAATTCTGTAATTAAGTATAATAATTAGATTGATTAGGGTGGTGTATCATTAATGGTAAAATTTGATTGTGTCGCTACGACCACAATCAACTTAGTCCTTCCCAATCTGGATTCGATTAATATCAATAACTAGATCTACTTGATGCCCTGAATTAAGGCATGATACTCAACGGTACGATATCCCTGAACGGATAAAATATAAAGCCTTCTGTAATAAGCTACGGGGATTATTTTTACGTTTAGTGAAGTTATAAGAAAGAAGGTGTGCAGTATTTTAAATAGAAAAATAAATAGGCCTAAATTTCTAAATGTAGATTCTAGATAATAGGCCTAATAGATTTAGCCAAGGTTCTGAATTGTACACTGTATACAAAAGAACTATAGGCCTACAAGATCTAGATCCCTTAGACTCTAGACTAGATTTATTTCTAGATCTAGATCTAGTCCTAGAAAGAGTAACTCACAATGCTACAATTGAATGCATATCCATTTGTCATTCTCTTAGGACTTCTAAGGCTAATACGTAATAGAATCTAGACTCTAGTAATGAATACTTTACAGATGTAGATCTGAGCTAGTCTCTAGATCTATATACTATGAATATAGCGTATAATTTAATAAAGCCTACTGTTAGTTTTTCTATTTTATATAGCTAGATCTATTTATTATTTAACGTATGCCAAAATTAAATATTTAAGTCCTAGGCCTACATAAATAATGTTATTTTGACTCACTTTTCTCGTACCACTCCGCATCCACTACCTCCTGGATATCCTCCATCCCGAAATAATCTGTAGAATCCATATTTTCTGTTCTTTACAAGAACCAGATTACAGAACTGATGTGAACATGGCTAAACGGTCCACTACACAAACACAAGCAGTGGTTAGCTTATAATTAAACTAATGTGTAGGGGGTTACATTACTAAGTTACTCCCACATTCCTGTCCGACGAAGGATTTCGCACCGGCCCTCAAGCGAGCCATCAATAGTTTACACACACGTTCAACAGCGGTGCAGCACAGTTCACTGTCGCCCCGTCTACAATATTATGGATTCGTGTTCTTTAGGTCTGCGGGCGATAACGATAGAAAGCTCAAGAGTAATAGAAACAAAAAAAAATAGTCTAAGCACAGTGTGTAGTCCTGGTGAAACTCTAGGAAGTGAGCACGCTACTAAGCTCATTAACAAAACAATATTGCAGACGTGTAGGAAAAGCGAGTCGCACGCGAAAGTTTTACGACAGGTCAAGGCGAACGAGAGTTGTATGGAAACCCGAATGGCCAAAATTTGACTGTTCTGTTTTAGTACACTTTATCTTAGAAGACTTAGATTTAGTATTTTAATACTTTTCTATATTTTGTTTAACCATAAATTAGTTGTTTCTATGCTCTTTAAAACGAATTAACTAAGAAAAATTTAATACATTTTAAATGTTTCCGAAAAGGTGAACAATTTTATTTTTTAAAAAAAAACAGCAATTGTTAACGAACTATATACTGTCAGGATAAGGTTTATTGATCATTATTATAGCAATTTATATTTTAAATCGTCATTTAAAATGCAAAATAACTGCTACACTTACTTTTTTTTAAAAAATCGTTTTAAAAAGCAAAAGCTTATTCTACTCGTTGTTTATCCTTACAAACATCGAAATATGTCATTCATATTGGCATACGGCTTCACCGGTAAAGCTTAATTTTAATTATCTAATAAAATTATTTCACGTATATATGTGCCATGACTGGTCACTCAAATTAATGCTTTACATTTAGCAGGATCGCTTAGACTGCCGATATTTTAGGCGTGAGCTTTGTGCGCCATATGGTATAGCTATTGTTAGTAGGCCAATTAGGCCTGCAATTTAACTTTATCTGGTGCCATAGCCATAGCCATCACCAGCACACAACCACAAACAGTGCCATCACCAGGAAAGAACCACACAACTACAGGCATAACTAGCACAAAACCACAAACACAGCTATCAACAGCACAAAATTACACAACACATCAACCACCAGCACACAACCACTGCCATCTCCAGCATACAACCCCACTAATCACCAGCACACATCTACATCCACAACCACAGCAATCACCAGCACACAACCACAGGAATCACCAGCAGCACACATCTACATCCAACCACAGCAATCACCAGCACACAATCACAGCAATCACCAGCACACAACCACAGCAATCACCAGCACACAACCACAGCAATCACCAGCACACAACCACAGCAATCACCGGCACACAACCACAGCAATCACCAGCACATAACCACAGCAATCACCGGCACACAACCACAGCAATCACCAGCACACAACCACAGAAATCACCAGCACACAATCACAGCAATCACCGGCACACAATCACAGCAATCACCGGCACACAACCACAGCAATCACCAGCACACAACCATAGCAATCACCAACACACAACCATAGCCAACACTAGCACACAACCACAACCAACACCAGCACATAACGACAGCAATCACCCGCACACAACCATATCAATCACCGGCACACAACCACAGCAATCACCAGCACACAACCATAGCAATCACCAACACACAACCATAGCCAACACTAGCACACAACCACAACCAACACCAGCACATAACGACAGCAATCACCAGCACACAACCATATCAATCACCAGCACACATCTGCATCCAAAACCACAGCAATCACAAGCACACAACCACATCAATCACCAGCACACAACGACAGCAATCACCAGCATACAACCACAGCAATCACCAGCACACAACGACAGCAATCACCAGCATACAACCACAGCAATCACCAGCAGCACACATCTACAACCACATCAATCACCAGCACACAACGACAGCAATCACCAGCACACAACCACAGCAATCACCAGCACACATCTACATCCACAATTATCACCAGTACATATTACAGCCACAAAACCCGCCATATCTGATTAATAAAAAAAAAATCATGCCTGAATAAGACTTTATTTTTACTTCGTCATCGATACATCCATTCATATTTTAAATATCTTTAAAAGAACTATAACACAAATGTGAAGCGACGTTTGTCAAACGATTTGTTTGTTAGCCATCGACAAGCGAACTGTCTGAGTGTACGTGTGTTCACGCCTCATCGAGACCCCATCCTCTGTGGAATATTTGCACGCTCGCAAGATGATCGTTAAGACGTCTGCTCTGTATAACTTGACTTCTTGTGAGAAATTCAGTCATCTTTTTTTTAATTGCTCACTAGAGAGAGTAGACTGCTAACCCGTAAGTCTCGAGTTCGAATCCGGGTTCAAGTCAGCAGACAGAGTCCACACAGCTCTGATGGATACCTGACTCACGTTGGGCTAAGAAGAAAACATGTAACCTTAATTAAATATGCTTTTTAGCATAACTAATAATAAATCAAGCATGCTCTCATTCTCCACCAATACCTATCGTCACAAACAGCCAGCCACCCCCCCCCCCCCCCAAAAAAAAAAGCTTAAATGGAAAAATGACATCACAAACCCTCTAGCAATCATTATTCACACTCACTTCCCCCCCTCCAATCACTCCCCCCCCCCCCTCCAATTAATTGTTATTCTTGAAAGTACACCAAAAGTATCTACGTCAAATGTCTTCCCCCCCCCCCCCCTCCAACATATCACACAATGTCACAAACGTATTATCTTAACCGTCTATAGAACATTTCTATATTATAGATATGGGGGTCATCCATAAATGACGTCACACTTTTTTAACGATTTTTACCTCCCCCTCCCCCCTGTCACACATCGTCACAAAAAGCCAGACCCCCCCCCCCCTTTAAATGACGTCGCACCTCAGCCTACAACCACCATCAAAATTGCAGTTGAATTTTTTTTAAACATCGATATTTTTTTCCAAAATCTTTTCTAACTATGTCAAAATAGAGTATTTTAATCAATTCCTATAACAAATTATTAAAACAGTCTCCTCAAACGCGAAATAACGTCTAAAATTCGTTTTCTAACATTGCTTTTTTATAATGCAAAAGTGTGACGTCGCACCATCTGAACCCCCCTCCCTCTCATCACACACCGTCACATTACGGACCCCCTCCCCCTTCGAGTGTGACGTCATTTATGGACGACCCCTATGAGTAATCAATAAACAACGTTTCACTTTTTAACAATCTTTTTAACAATTTTACACCCCCACCCCCGAAAATTGCCAAAAAAAAAAGCCAGACACCTTTCTAAAATGACGTCATACAAATGCCCCCCCCCCCCCCCTACTTAATCACGATTGTATTTTAAAACAGCGATTTCGTCCTAAAATAGACACATTTAAGCTCGGACAACATTGTGTATATAATATAATATATAATATATTGTGTATATAATAATAAAATAATTTTAAACGCGAAATTCGGCTTCTAACATCAGTTTTTAAAATGCAAATCAGTGTCGTCACATCACACTTAATTTTAACATCGACCCCCCCCCCCCCCACACACACACACGTACATCTCGACCCCCTTGTAGTATGACGTCGTGTGTGGACGTTTCCTTAGCTGACAGTCAAAACATAAGTGTAGTGTGTAGTGAATATTTTATGAGTTACACCATTTATTTATTACACAGATCTAAAACTATTAACTACGGCGTTAACTTTGTAATGTTATTGTTAGGATAGACTACCTGCACAATCGTAAGTAGGCCTACATTATTAGTAATATCATCTTTTAGGTTATATTTTAAAATTGTATTGGCCTATAGTATAACGATAACATCTTTGGCCTATAACGATAACACCTAAAATGCTGTATTTTTCGTACGTTTAAACGCCAATATTAGTTGGTTTTTTTTTTGCCAAATACGAAAATGTTTAGTAAATTTTGTATTCTACATAATTTTCTCTAAAAAAAAATAACTTTTTACTTTTACCATTTCATAGGGCCTAAATTTCTTTGGCTTGATAACAACATCCTACTTTATTTTTTACATTTGGCTTTAATTTAGTAAAAAATCTGGGTTTGTTACTGCTGAATGTGTGTGTATGTTTGTGTTTCGCAGAAAGGCTGAGTGATAGAGTCTAGCAACTTTCGAAGGGGAATATAAAAATATTGGGGGTTGATTGTAATAAAAAAAATGTCGGGGCAAGATCAGTCACCAAAGGGACGAGATATTCCTGCAATGAGACGAGTAGTGCTAAACGACGTCTCACAGCTGCCATCTGATTACAGTTCGACCCCAGGAGGAACATTATTTTCCACAACACCTGGTGGTAAGCAATAAATAATAAATAAATAAAATATCATAGATCTAGGCTGCTCATTTACTTTAGAATTATTTTTCTTTCTTTCTTCAAAATCTGCAAATATTTCATACTATGGCATACACTGCACACATCTGATCTTGAGTTATGATTTTTTAAAAATTCAGTTAATTATTCATTTTCGCACCATACTTTCCCCACCCCTGCCTTGTGTAGTTTAAATTGATTATTCAAAATGGCCGACACCACAAAAATAGAAGGCCATGTGACTTGGTTTACTGACTACTCTACTAGATCTAAATAAAATTGCATGTTTCTTTATCAAATCCTCATCAGTCTTGATCTAACTCATTTTGCAAGTCTTGTATAGGGCAAATCTAGACTATTACTAAATTGTTAGATAGTTTAGTTACTGTTAATCTGGGATTCTCATTCTGCCAGATAAAACTGATTTTGTTCCGGGACAAATAAACTACCAGGCTACTACTACTACTATAAATAACTTTTTGGATACAACTTCCCCCCCCCCCCCCTCAATCCTACAGACTTAAGTTGTAGAATGTTTAGTCAGTCTTGGTAACTATACATATACTTAGGCTATCCATCCAACCTTATACTATCCATTGTGTTACAGGAACAGGGTTACATTACACAGTGAAAATTACCCAACTGCAGCTCAGCTGTTGGCTCAAATATTCCTTTCAGTTTCAGGCATAACTTCAGGAGGGTGGACTGCCTACCCCCCCCCCCCCCCCCCACCCCGACAAAAAAAACCTTTTATTTACACAGACAAAATATTCTTCACATATTGACTGAGCAGAATATCTGGGGAAAAAAAACAGGCCCTTATTGAGCATCATTACTATATTTACTAAATATTTAGTAATGAATTGCTTAGCTGTTTCATTAATTAGCACAGTGAGTAAAATGTCTTAAAACTCTTACTCGTAGTTTGATAATGATAGACATGGAAAGTTAATTTCATTATAAAATAATTGTATACCACTGTGATTGTAATGAATGGCCTTCAATGTGTGATAATGTAATGTGTCCATTAGCAAGGCATACAACTTCCCACTTATTTAAAATAAACCCAATACACTACTTTAAACTCACAAAAAATCATTGTCATAAAAGTACATGCAGGTAAAAATTAATGAGATAATGTATTATAGAGAATGTAAATAAATTTACTTTATACATCAAATGTAATTTTATATTGCAGGTACTCGTATAGTGTATGATCGATCACGTCTAATGCAGTTAAGGAACTCACCTTTAGCAAGAAGTCCCCCTGTAAATATGGCGAAAATTCCAGGTGTCACAGATTTCGATACAGATTCATTCATAGCTAGTCCAAAAAATAAAGAGAACGGACCAAAAGAGGACAAAGACCATTTGAAAGAGGGTATGAAACTATTTTGTAAAATTAATCATCTTTAGCTCAACAAAAAACACCTCAAAAGATGTTTATTCCATTAATGTTTGAATCTTTTGTCTTCGATAGTTTGCTCACCATATTTTGTTGCTTATGATTTGGTTATCTTTTTTTCAATGTTTATTTGGTTGTCTCATAGAAAAAAAAAATTCCTTTTTTTTTTTAATTTATAGAATCCAAGTTCGGCCATGACGAGCACCCCCAGTTTGAAATGGATATTTGAATGGTTTTACGCACTCAGGCCAATGTCTTTCGGTCTAATGCTGTTATTAATTGCATTCAATCAAAGTGCTCTGTGCTTCACTTCTGATGATTAGACATGCAGGCTGTCATTCATCCGACCTGACTGATAGCAGAATTCATCATTGGCAGTGAGATGTGTTTGCGTTCATTGATATATAAAAATGTGTATATCTAATATATATAAACAAATATATATAAAGACGGGCTAATTTTTCCCAGTGATATTATTAGCTTGATCTGTTTGGCATACTATTAGTTAGGCTCATTGTATAGTTGACGCAGAAATACATTTTGTTGAGTTAGGTTGTTACAAAGTTTTCATAATCAAACTTTTTTTTTAAAGAATTTCTGTGGCCATATGACATGAAGTTTTTAAATCAATTTTTATATTTTGTTAAAATTTAAAAGCCTGCATGTATGGTTGATGAAGTTAGCAGCTAAGCCACATAATATCCCCTGGGTCTGGGTTTTTTAAAGTCATTTATCCACTGTGTTTATATTTTTATAGATGTTTCTAAAAAGATGTCTAAAACTTAGTTTTTCATGGTTATTTTTTATTTTAAAATATATTTTTACAATTTTAATTTAGTTTATATGAGAATTATTAGCAAATTGAGTTAAAAAAAATTAATATAAAAATGTATTGTATTCATATTATGTTTAAAATGTTTTAAAATCAGTATTTTTACAAAGTCAGTGTGTGCTTGTGAAATACTTTTCTGTTGCTTTTGAAAATGAAAAAAACTGATGTATTTTTTAAATTAAAATTTTATCAGCATTAGCTCAAATTAATTTTTTTCCTTCTATCTAAAAGTTGTTTATCAACCAGCTCCTTGACAAAACAACTTTGCCTTCATTCAAATGCAGATTATTGTTCACAGTAACCTGCATGGCAGCAATACAGAGTGATTTTTTGTTAATTTCTTTGCAAATTTGTTTTCTTTGGCACTCTCTCACAACTAGTTGTCCACAATGTATGTATATCAAAATGTAACTAAAATAATTTGGATAGCTTGATGCATATTTCTGTGACAAAGGTTTTTTTTTCGGAAGTTGTAGATAATGTTTGATCTATATTTATGATAGATAAGAGTTTGTTGGTGTGGCTGGGCGTGTGATTAAAATCTGCTAGTGGAGTACTACAGACTTATCTATGCATACAAGACTAAGCTGAGAGGAAGATGTGAGGTATGTTGACTGGTCCTTAGCTGTCCCTGATTCATGTGGTCCCTCCGAGCTCTTTAGTTTGTGAGGTTCCATTTCTACATGTTCTGTTTAACCCTAGCTTTACAACTGCGCTCGATAACTTGTTACATTCTTGTGGTGTTGCATACATATTTTGTTGCTTGCATGCTTTTGGAAACATGCAACCTAACCAAAGAAGTCCAGAATTTTAAGCATAATACAAGCTACATAATTTTTACTATTTACATTTTTTTTTCCTACCGGGTACCTGTCGTCTTGATGCATAGAAATATAGTTTAATTTTTGCAAATGAAATATATGGTTATCTACGTACAGTGTTAAATTTTCTAACATATAGTTTCAGTGCTCATGGGTAGGTGTTAAATCCTGAACTTTAATTCATGTAATTTTTTCCATTTGGCATAAAGGGAGTGGTATCAACATTTAATCAACAATATAATAACCCTAATTTTATTTTGCTAGTGTCTGGCAGTATGTGTTCATAATTAAGGAAGTTAATTTTGAAATAAAATGCTACACTATGAATTTTTTTTTCTTGAAACAGTATTTTTTTATGCACACACTTCATGTTCATATCTGTATGATTTGTTTTTGCTTCAAATCAAACTGGGTCTGTGTACTGGTCAAACACTGAAATCCTGGATCACTTGTGTTCTTGTCATTGAGAGTGTGCTCAGTTTCTTGTCTTGATTTAAATCTTCCTCTTAAGCTTAAGGCCAGTGTCTTAGTTAGATTATAATGACTTGTTTGCCATAAGCTGTTTGTGTGAGAGTATTGTTTGTAGGAAAATAGAATCACATTGAAGGTCCCTTCAGTCAAGAAATATAATCAAGGGAGACAAGCATCATTTTTGTGCCACTGTTAACTATCAACAAGGCAATTATTCTTTCTCAGCTTTCTGTCTGACTTCAGGTCTCAGTGTTGTCATCATTAGCCTTCATAGGTGTCTGCAGTAATGAGGGTCTAGGATCAACTAAGATCTCCCCCCACTACTCATTAGTATTCAGAAAAAAAAACACCTACTTAAAATAAAGAAAAAGGGAGCTTAAACATTACTGTTACTTGATTATATGTCATTGAATTATGTTATCAATCACATGTTAATTTTGTGAAAGTTTGTTGTCAGAGTAGCCTCCCCTTTAACAGTTGCCTGTGTCCATTCAGTATTTCTTCTTGTTCTGATTGTATGCAAGTGTTGGATCTGTATGATTACAAGGGCATTAATCATGGCGAGTTTTGTTTACTAATTCATTCTGTGTTTGAACCCCCAGTGAAAGATACCGTTACACAATGTTTTCACTATTCATAGGTCAAATGTTAATACATGCGAGGTCAGAGGTCGAGTGCTAGCTTTATTTAAGTTTAATTATTTTTTCAGTGCTAAAACAACCCAACAATCTCATTGTGGAGGGTTTTTGTTTTGTTTTACCCTAATAAAATCTACACGAGCACTGTGTTCTTCTTGTATTTCTGTGAGTTAATGGTTTGTTATGCGGGGTACCTAAGTAGACAATCAGAGTGTTACATACATATTGTGACTCCATAGTCCATAGCTATGGAGTCACATGATGTATATAGCAGGGATCTACCTTTGGACAAATGTATTGTTTACTGGGGACTTCGTCTTTTCCTGTTTGTATCTAAGACACATGGTGCAGGTTAAGTAGAGTTTATCTGCTTCACTGACCTTGGCACATAAAGGAATAGTGTGGCCAGCACTACGCAACCCAGAGCCACTCTAATGAAACAACATGCTAGCCAGAGGCCACTCTAGTGAGACACGCTTGCTAGAGCCACCCCTCAACCCCCCCCCCCCCCCCCCCACCCGAGAATAGAGTTCATCTAATGCAGGTCGAGTTGATTCAACCGGCCTTTACAGTTGTATGTGTGTATTGATGTTGAGATGTATTGTGTGTCAGCATTGATCTACTTGACGTGTGCAGTGTTTTTCTAGACATCTCTACCCCTCACGCCCGAACGAAGTGGAATTTATATAGAAAACATACTTTTACCAGTGTGCCCCCCCCCCCCCCCCGAGAAAATGTATGGAAGAAACACTGGACGTGTGTAGGGGAGTATGTGGACACGCTTATAATTTTAGTAATTTAAGAATAACTAATCAAGACTACAAAACCACTGCTACGTAGTAACTGACACAACGGTAGCTTTCGGTAGTTGGTTGATAGGATTTCCGGCTTCGGGAAAATTGAAAAAAAAGTAATGAATATATTATCTGTAAAGATATGTCAGGAAGATATACATCGAACTGCAAAAACCACCCTCAGGCACATGAGCGTGTTTTAAGTGTGTTAATAGTTTATTTGCGAATAGAGAGAAAGACAGGGAGAGCAGAGGCGTAGGGGGGGGGTACATATGCCGACCATAGGGGCGCCAAAATAAGCTAATTTTAGCTGCTTTTTTAAATTATAAATATAAAAAATATGTGGGGGGGGGGGGGGGGGCAAATTGAAAGTTTGTCCCCGGGTGCCGGGAAGGGTCGCTACGCCTCTGAGCAGACGTCACGGTTTCCACCACGAAATGACGTCATTCAATTCATCTAAAATTTATTATCTTCGTGATGTGATCAGATCAAAGATTCAGTACAATTCCTGCCGATCGGTATTGATTTTATTCCATTAACTCCTAGATCTTGTGAACAGTGATTCTTCCAGGCATCTCTTGGAAGAATCTCCCCCCCCCTTTCACCCAACCCCCGAACGAAATGGAATTTATATAGAAAATATATACTTTTAACATTACCCCCCCCCCCCCCCCAACCTTTCCGCTTGGAAATTTTAGTCCGCCCCCACTCCCCCAGAAAATTTCAAGTGTGTCCGCCCCCCCCCCCCCCCCATAGAAAAAAAAGTGTCTGGATGAAACACTGCTTGTGAAAGAAATGACAGTTTTTAGTGTAATATAAAGTCACACGTTGCCGCCTTGTAGACCATCTTAAATAATTTTTTTCATTGATTGTTGTCATATCACAAATTTTACGTAGCTTTATAAAAAAAATTTTCATTGTTGGTACTTTACAACTATATTGGTCCTTAAACAGCGGTCATATTTCACAACCATTGGTCAGCTAATTCGGTCAAGCCATTTTCAGTCTAGTTTAACTGTTTATCATTTAGTCACTTTGCATTTCTCCCTCCCTGCCTGACATCTCCCCAGGGGTGGGGGGGGGGGGGACGAAACGAAAAGATATATAATTTATATCGAATTTTTTAGTTTAACCAATGTTCATCCACCCCCCCCCCCCCCCCACACACCTCCCGGAAATTGTAAGCGCTGCCCCCGGAAAAAATGTCCGAAAGAAATCCTGCTCCCTTCAACATACACCACCCTCCCCCCGGTAACGCCTTTTAACCACACACATGCATTTATTACTTGCGTCATCACGAAAGACGTTATCAGCAGCGCCAAAACGAGGCAATCGTTTCTATTTATACTCAACGCTGTGTCAAATCAAATCTATCAGATCCAAATAAACGAATCAAACTAAAAACACCATTCCTAACTACCAAGCTAGTGTGTTAAACAAATAACCCTCTCTATAAAAACCCAGCTGTGTGAATAAATTAAAACTTTTTTTCTCCATTAAAATATCTTAAGTGGTAATAAAAAAAAACCCTCCCTTCCCTTTCTATGACTAATTTAAAAGTTGCGGAACGAATCGATCACAGGCGTTCTAAAGTATACCTGACACAAGATCACCGTGTGAGAGACCAAACCTGCCACAGGCCACTGTGAGAGAGAACAAACCTGCCACAGGCCGGCCCACTGTGAGAAAGATGACTAGTGATTCGGTGCGTGGCTCGCAGTTGTTTCAGTCCAAAGAAGTCGCGTCCAGCTTGAATGCAGTATACTTGTTGGAATCTTCTCCCCATTTCTGTTGGACTGATTAAAATCACGTGATTCTGGGCGTGGGTTGTGATGGAGTAGAGTCCACTACAATGTGGTAGGATATTGTTCTCTGTGGTGGTGAGTCTACATGTATTCATACACTAACAATATGTATAGCTCTCTAACATGTCCGTCTGTTTACACATAGCAATAAACAATACTTACACTTACATAATCATTTCTGAATACCTGTATATACAAATTAAGGTGTAAATCACTGTAACATAATCATTTCTGTATACCTGTAAATAAAACAATATCACTGTAACAATCAATTATGTATACCTGTATTTGAAAATAAAGGTGTCTATTACTCTTACACTGTAACTGCAGGGCTAAAAATCTTATGTTTATTTTCAATGATTGGCCTTGTGTAAGGAAAATTAATACAGTATTAAAACAAGAAAAAGTAAAGTAAAATAGAAGCACCATATTATCAAAAAAAAAAACTATAAAAAAAACTAAAAAAAAAAAATTAGTGAAACAACAAACAAACAAAAAGAAAGGATGTGATATTTGAAGCTGAGTTTACTAACAACATTCAAAAAAAATAATTACAATATATGACCCTATTTCATGTTTACGACAACGAAAAACTTTAAACAAAACAAAAATCGAATTTTTGTTTTTTTTATTAGTTATTCACTTTAGCTGGAGACATGTTCTCAAAGAATTTTTTTTATAATCCGCATCACATTTAAAAAAAAAATTCCTTAGACTATGTGTTTGTTTTTAGAAGTAAAACCCCCTTTCATTCCGCTAAATTAATTATTAATTCACCTCGCCCAACCAGTGGCGGAACCCGTATATATGTATATATATGTATATATATGTATATATATATATATATATATATATATATATATATATATATATATATATATATATATATATATATATATATATATATATATATATATATACAAACACATTAGGAACATAGGACATTCATTTCTGGCCTGATCGGGTTTTGAAAAGAAAAATTCAATTAAATCTAATCACAATAACATGTCATGTGTATGAATGCATTGGTCTGTTTTGAAAATCTCTGTTTACATTTGTTTGCCTTAATACATCTAATCATTAAGTCGGTCAAAAGTATATAAGTCATGAAATTTTGTATAAGTAATGGTGTCTCGGGTTATGTTTATATTTATGATTTTTCGTATTTATATTATTCCTTTTAACTATATTTCATTTTTATACTTTACCATTCTTTAGTACTTATTTAAAAAAAATAATAATTAAGATAAGTAATTGATGTTTAATTTGATCATTACAAATCTACTAAAAGGAGATTATAAACACCCCCCCCCCCATTTGACTATTTGAAAAAGGGAAATTATTTATGGAAGTGATGTGAACGTTTGTCTATCTTTCACACTACAGCTCGTGTGTATATTTTTAATTTTTTTTTTTACGCAACAGCATGTCTTAGCTACTATATAACATCACTACAGTATTAGATCTGTTATCTGTTTGTTATTTTACAAAACTACTATTAAGGTGCCAGTGACGAAACTAATATATATATATATATATATATATATATATATATATATATATATATATATATATATATATATATATATATATATATATATATATATATATATATATATATATATATATATATATATATATATATATATATAACACGCTATCATTCGTGTATTTATTTGAGACGTTTGCCTTGTTTTCTAGAACAGTGGTTATTAAACGTAAACAATGTCGGTACTTTATTTCTTGGCTATTAGTTGTTGGAGCGCTAGTTTGTCAACACTACCACCGATACGAGCCAGCTCAGTTGTTGGGGCGCTATCAATGCTACCTCTAATGGAAAAAAAGTTAGTGTGCAACGTGTGTGTTTTGTGTGCGCGGTGTTCTAAAAGTCTTATACAAAGATATAAGTATTTTACAAAATCACTGCGCGGCAGCTCAAAACTAGTGCGCGGCCGCGCAACCGCGCAGCTTAGAGGGAACACTGGGCGCTATCTATTCGCTTCTTGTAAGGCTTAGAGCTGAGAAAGGAACTTAAAAGGGACAACAAAGCACCGATGTGCTTTTATACATCAGTACTAAATTTGGGATGGTCTCAAAAAGCCGTCTTAATATCTAGCGGCCTCTCGCGCAATTGATATTTTTTCAAAAGAATTTTGCCGACAACAGCGTGTGTTTGATTGTAGGAAAAAGAATATACAAGAGCGTAGGATAGTGTCTATAGAATAAAGATACTACAACCGCAGCTACAGTATTCTTTTTTCAAAACAACCATCAGGTCAAAAATGCAAGAAAATTAACTTTAACTATAAAAAAAAAAATGATTATGGGCGGCTGTGGGCCCCCTAACCGGCATGGGCCCCCCCCCCCCCGCATTGCGGGGTCTGGCGGCACTGTAGTTCCGCCCCTGCGCCCAACAAACTCTCCGGTTGTTAGATGTATTTATTGAGCACATCGCGCAGAGGCGTAGCGACCCTTCCCGGCACCCGGGGACAAACTTTCAATTTGGCGCCCCCTCGGGAGCAAATTTTCGATTTGCACTCCCCCCCCCCCTCAAACTTTCGATTTTCACCCCCCCCCCCCCAACTGCAAAAATGCAGCTAAGGTCGGCGCTCGGGGACATATGCCCCCCCCCCCTGTCCCCCATCGCTACGCCTCTGACATCGCGAAACCGGACTATGTCCGTTACTAGAGCCCTGCCACCATGTTACTAGAGCCCATCCACCATGTCCGTTACTAGAGCCCATCCACCATGTCCGTTACTAGAGCCACCATGTCCGTTACTAGAGCCACCATGTCCGTTACTAGAGCCACCATGTCCGTTACTAGAGCCACCATGTCCGTTACTAGAGCCCATCCACCATGTCCGTTACTAGAGCCCATCCACCATGTCCGTTACTAGAGCCCATCCACCATGGCAGTTACTAGAGCCCATCCACCATGTCAGTTACTAGAGCCCATCCACCATGGCAGTTACTAGAGCCACCATGTCCGTTACTAGAGCCCATCCACCATGGCAGTTACTAGAGCCCATCCACCCATCCACCATGTCCGTTACTAGAGCCCATCCACCATGTCCGTTACTAGAGCCCATCCACCATGGCAGTTACTAGAGCCCATCCACCATGTCCGTTACTAGAGCCCATCCACCATGGCAGTTACTAGAGCCCATCCACCATGTCAGTTACTAGAGCCCATCCACCATGTCCGTTACTAGAGCCCATCCACCATGTCAGTTACTAGAGCCCATCCACCATGGCAGTTACTAGAGCCCATCCACCATGTCCGTTACTAGAGCCCATCCACCATGTCCGTTACTAGAGCCCATCCACCATGTCCGTTACTAGAGCCACCATGTCCGTTACTAGAGCCACCATGTCCGTTACTAGAGCCCATCCACCATATCCGTTACTAGAGCCCTGCCACCATGTCCGTTACTAGAGCCCTGCCACCATGGCCGTTACTAGAACCCATCCACCATGTCCGTTACTAGAGCCACCATGTCCGTTACTAGAGCCCATCCACCATGTCCGTTACTAGAGCCCATCCACCATGTCCGTAACTAGAGCCACCATGTCCGTGACTAGAGCCACCATGTCCGTTACTAGAGCCCATCCACCATGTCCGTTACTAGAGCCCTGCCACCATGTCCGTTACTAGAGCCACCATGTCCGTTACTAGAGCCCATCCACCATGTCCGTTACTAGAGCCACCATGTCCGTTACTAGAGCCACCATGTCCGTTACTAGAGCCACCATGTCCGTTACTAGAGCCCATCCACCATGTCCGTTACTAGAGCCACCATGTCCGTTACTAGAGCCCATCCACCATGTCCGTTACTAGAGCCCTGCCACCATGTCCGTTACTAGAGCCACCATGTCCGTTACTAGAGCCCATCCACCATGTCCGTTACTAGAGCCACCATGTCCGTTACTAGACCCCATCCACCATGTCCGTTACTAGAGCCCTGCCACCATGTCCGTTACTAGAGCCACCATGTCCGTTACTAGAGCCCATCCACCATGTCCGTTACTAGAGCCACCATGTCCGTTACTAGAGCCACCATGTCCGTTACTAGAGCCCATCCACCATGTCCGTTACTAGAGCCCATCCACCATGTCCGTTACTAGAGCCACCATGTCCGTTACTAGAGCCACCATATCCGTTACTAGAGCCCATCCACCATGTCCGTTACTAGAGCCCATCCACCATGTCCGTTACTAGAGCCACCATGTCCGTTACTAAAGCCCATCCACCATGTCCGTTACTAGAGCCACCATGTCCGTTACTAGAGCCACCATGTCCGTTACTAGAGCCACCATGTCCGTTACTAGAGCCCATCCACCATGTCCGTTACTAGAGCCCATCCACCATGTCCGTTACTAGAGCCACCATGTCCGTTACTAGAGCCCATCCACCATGTCCGTTACTAGAACCCATCCACCATGTCCGTTACTAGAGCCCATCCACCATGTCCGTTACTAGAGCCCATCCACCATGTCCGTTACTAGAGCCCATCCACCATGTACGTTACTAGAGCCACCATGTCCGTTACTAGAGCCACCATGTCCGTTACTAGAGCCCATCCACCATGTCCGTTACTAGAGCCACCATGTCCGTTACTAGAGCCACCATGTCCGTTACTAGAGCCACCATGTCCGTTACTAGAGCCACCATGTCCGTTACTAGAGCCCATCCACCATGTCCGTTACTAGAGCCACCATGTCCGTTACTAGAGCCACCATGTCCGTTACTAGAGCCCATCCACCATGTCCGTTACTAGAGCCACCATGTCCGTTACTAGACCCCATCCACCATGTCCGTTACTAGAGCCCTGCCACCATGTCCGTTACTAGAGCCACCATGTCCGTTACTAGAGCCCATCCACCATGTCCGTTACTAGAGCCACCATGTCCGTTACTAGAGCCACCATGTCCGTTATTAGAGCCCATCCACCATGTCCGTTACTAGAGCCCATCCACCATGTCCGTTACTAGAGCCACCATGTCCGTTACTAGAGCCACCATGTCCGTTACTAGAGCCCATCCACCATGTCCGTTACTAGAGCCCATCCACCA